TGGCAGGTAAGGGAGAACGCATCCTCTTCCACGGGGGCCCAGTCTCCTCCATGGGCTTTATCCCCCAAAGGCTCCACCTTGAAGGCAACCGAGTGTCTTGGCTGAACAGAGGCCAGATCCTGCCTTGCTCCAAGCTGATGGGGGGGGGGGGGGGGACTTTAGAGACTGTATCTCTCAGATGGATTTGGCCCATAGACAAATAAAGGTGGAGCAGTCCCTGGGCTACTATGGAAACCAGTGGGTGCCAAGGCACCAATAACCCCGACCTTCCTGCATTGCAGTGGAGAAGAGGCAGCCAATTGCAGTCCACCTGGCAGGTCGGAATATCAGCAAGAGGGTCTCAGGTAAGACAGATCCACTTGGTACTGCCTTGCCTAGGGAGCCAGTGGGACACGGCAGCGTCCATTCCCTGGCCTGTGATAACTGCCCCATGGCTCTCTAAGGGCAGGGACAGGGACTGTATAACTCCAGCGTGAAAGCTGGAGCTGAATTCCCAGTGGTCACATCACCACCTGCACCTCTGCCACATGGGGTTCATGCATCCCATGCCCGCTGTCCTCAGTAGCCTTATATAAGCCTTCCTAGAAATATAGATATATATCCTATAGATCCTTCCTAGAAATGCACTGCAATGGCTTAACCTTTGCAGTGTTTTCTATGAGTGGAAAACCATTTCTCTTTGTATTTAAGGAAAATCTTTTAGACTCAGAACGCAGCAAAAATGCTTTTGTTCTCCTGGCCATGTCTTGCCTGGCGGCTGCTGCAGAAAGGCTCTAAGCATCTTCTCACCCGCAGTGGTCCTGGTAGCACTCTGTGACTTCATAGTCACAACATAGATAGGTCCAGGCAGATTCAAGCAATATGCACTTATTCACAGCCATGGCCACGTTAGGTTTGAGAGATGCATGTGAGTCCATTCGCATTTGTGCATCCCTTGGCACAGACCGTGGTTGCTCTCACATCTCCCATCCCCAGCACAACCTTAGCTGAGGGGCATCATCCGAGAGCGAGGATTATCCAAGTAAGAGCGTGCAAGTCATCCTGTGCCATGGATTTCACAGTCTGGGCACCTCTGCTTTAATTCTGGACTAACTGCCAGTAACCAGCAAGTGCTCTTTGCACCCCTGACGCAGCATTTCAGCCAGAGCTCAGCCTGCCTGTGCAAAGCTTCGTGTCAGATAAGATCAAAGAAGAGAGGAACTCGCTGCATTTTCAACCTCCCAGCTTGAGCCCTTGTTGAGCCTATAAAGCAGGTTGAAATTGCTGCCTGGAGCTTGGCGTTGGGCACATTGGAAACTTCCCCATGGGATGTGCAGGCATGGCCCATGGGCTGTGTGCATCCCCAGGACCTCTCGTGCCACCCTGGGACTGTGGAGCCCGTTATTCCCCTTGGAGCCAGGTTGCTCTCCCTCGCTGCTCTCATTGGTGTCTCTGTAGGCTGGGGAAGGTCCAAAGTACCTCCTGGAGGCTGTAGCTGAGCTCAACCCCTATGGCCATGGCTTCCTGGTCTCTGTATTGACCTATCTGTACTGACTCCAGGGGGAAGGCACGCTCCTGAGCTACTCTGATGACACTGATAGTGTCCCAAAAGCCATGGCAGGTCTCCATGGGCAGTGGAGGCAGCATCTGCCATGCAAGACCCTTCCACCTCCACACCCTGCTGGGGACCAGAACTGTGGGATGTTTGATTTGCTCTTCCTTTGCAAAGTGTCAGCACTCAGATGGGAGAAGCTGTGCGTCCTGGGATGGGAGCCTCTGAAGATGGGAGCTGCGGGCTGTTTTGGCAGTGCCACTGAAAGCCATGGAGATAGCAACCCCATAGGGCAGACACGAGGGTGTTTGGGTGGCAGTGGCAACTGTGTGCAATCCTCCACCCTCAGCGTTTCCACGTGGTTGGATGGAGGAAGCACAATGCTCCTCTGCTCACATCGTCGATCCAAGGGTGCCAATGCTAGTGACCAGAAACATGAGTTAAACTTGTCCTGGTCTCAGAGAAGGGGATGCTGCTCCCCTGGGCTGGGGATGGTGGTCTGGGGTAGGCAGGAGCCACCCCTGCACCCTGCAGCAGACACAGGCTGTGATGCCAAACATCTGTGGGGTGTCCCCCCCCAAAATCAGCCTGCCAAATGGATGTCTTTCTCCCAACTCATCTGCCATGCTTTCCCCCTACAGTGCTGGAGTGGGAGACGACGATGTACGGCCCTACGAGCAACAACTTGATAACCTACCAGGAGGGGAAACTGAAGGTGAAGGAAGCAGGACTCTACTACATCTATTCCCAAGTCAGCTTCTGCTCCAAGAAAGCAACTTTGGCACCATTCACCCTCTATATTTATTTGCATCTCCCCATGGAAGAGGACCGGCTCTTGCTGAGAGGACTAGACACACACGTAACCTCCACGTCGACCTGCGAGCTCCAGTCCATCCGGGAGGGAGGTGTCTTCAAGCTCCGGGAAGGTGACATGGTCTTTGTCAACGTGACAGACTCAACACAAGTGAACTACCGCCAGGGCATCACCTACTTCGGCATCTTCAAGCTGTAGTGAGGAGGGGACCGCCCTGAGCTGGTCCTGAGCTTTCCCTGTTTCCCCTATTTATGTCCCTCTGCCTCTTTGGTTTCCTTGTTTCTTAATTTGTATATTTTGTTATTTATTAATGAGGACCAAGGGGCCCTGAGAACACAAATGGAACAAAGTCTGAAGCTGTTGTTGTTTGCACCTCGCTTATTCTTTCATTGCCACCTGGGTCCACCACTGCAAAGGTGGATTGTCCCCGTTGTGTCACAAACCAAACTCCATCATCAACGTATCTTTCCTAACAACGTAGGCCCCTCCATCCTTCATACCTATCTCATCTCCTGTACCAATCTGCTTGCAAAACAGCAGCGGAAAAAGATGAAAAGGCTTAGGAAGGTCTCTTCTAAGGGAATCAGTCAGCCGAGCGCTGGCCTTACGCGCTGGCTGGTGGTGATGCATCCTTGCCACCCTAACTGCCTGCTTTGTCTTGAGAAAGCCCTTTTTCCGCTTGTGCCTGTCTATGAAACTCACCCAGCCTTCTCATGCAGGGTGACACAGCCTTGGCCAGGTACATGAGGGACGACTGGTGGCTGATTTCAAGCTAGAGTGTGAGTAAGGGACCAGCCGTGCTCTGCTCTCATGACCCGAATCCACTCACCAGCCTGTCCTCCTCCCACCTCTGCAAGTAGAAGGCATCTTGGCCACCATCATCAGATTTGGACCTGCCTCCTCTCGTGCGGCTCCACCTATTCTAAGAGGAGGATCAAGAAAGCAGGGGGGTGGCAGGACCATCTGTGTCTTCCCAAGCCCTCCAAGGTGCTTGTGCACTTCCAAGAGCATCTTCTGTCTGTCCTCAGGGAGGACGTGCCCACAGCATCACTTTACCTGGAGCTCTAAGAGAGCAGGACTGTGCACACAGGCAGGAGTCCCTCTTGGGCAGGGGGTACACTGCACACTAGGGTCTCCCTGACCCTCTCCTCCAGCCTGGCCTGAAGGGAAGGTGAGCTGAGCAACAGCAGGGCCCAAGGTTGTTGATGTGGTATTCTTCAAAGGCATCTGAAGGTGGCAAAGGTGGCAAGCCTGGAGCATTTGGTTGTACAGGTCACACTGGTCAGAGTGCAAAGTTTTGGGAATACTGCTGGAATCCAACCGGTTTGGAAGTGGAAGAGCTTTCAGATGTGGCCAGTGCTTAGGATTTGCTTGGCTGGAGGCTGCAGGTCTGATCCTAACACGGTGGTGGGATGGTCTGCACAGGCCATTGCACTGCTGGATGCCAGTTTCCAAGCAGGGTCTCTTACCGGGTGCCTTGGTACCAGCCTTACCTTGGCACTCCTTGCTTGGTGACAGCCCTTTCCCCTCGTTGGGGCAGGGTTCCCATTGACAGGGTCTTTTAGGAGGCCAAATCCATTGTGTGCACCCCTGCTTGGAGGCAAGGGAGACTACTCCCCCCAGTTCAGTTTGGGTTGGGGGCACTCATGCTATGGAGCAGTACTGGGGTAGTCAATGGGAGCAGCCCACCATGAATGGGCACCTCCAGGGCATCCCCAGCTCCTGCAGTGCTTTGGGCTGTGCAGATTAAGCTGTTGGGGGTTATTTTCCTGTTTTTTCATGTTGATGATAATTTGCAGCCCAGCTCCATTGCTTGGAGGATGCTGACGCTGCTTGTGTTGGATTTGGGTCGTGCAAAGGGGCCCTTCGGGAGCTGGCATAAGAGAGGGACCAAAGGGACCCTGTATGCATTAGGAAAGCAGGATGCTCTCTGGTTAAAGCCTGGATCTGGCTTCATGGGGACATGGGAGTGGAGATGCTCCCTCCAAGATGAGCCTGGGGGATGCCTTCTCCTTATTCTCATGCTCAGCACCACCTCTGGGGCACCCAGGGCTGGAGGTGCCTTGCTCTGCCTCTTCCTTGAAGTCCCCAAAGCACCACTTGAGTCTCCCTTGCAGACTTCAGTGGTTTCTGCACCATGTGCTCAAGTGTTTTGTTTGCACTTGTTCTTTTTCCTGCTCTAAGTGCTGTGTTTGGGAAGGGAAAGCAAGATCCAGCGCTTGAGCCTCCTGCTTCGGCTGAGAGCACGGCACGTCTCTACCAAAGAGTTAAAAGGAGAGGAGGTCTTGTCCAAGCGGTAGACCAAAGGAAATCCTGTCACCACACCTAAATGCCAGGAAAAACACACACACCAACTAAAGAGAATAAAACCAGATCTCAAACAGGCAGGAAGTCACTTATCTACAGCATCCTGCTGGTGCCGCGGGGAGCGGCTGCTTTTCCATACAGCATCCTTGGTAGCACAGTGCAAGCAGGGCTTGAGGGATGGAAACGCATCTCCTTCCTCTGCTGCAGGGTGATGGTGGGAGTAATGCACCCAGTGCTAGCAGCATCATTTGCACCAGTATCCGCCCCAACAGGTGATGCAACCATGGGCGCTTTGAGCATATCGGGGATGCCCAGAGCATAGTGGTGGAAACGAAGGAAGCAGCCCCGAGAGCCAGGAAGTGATTTTTTGTCCTTCTTTATTTGTTGAAAATGTCAATTAAAAAACTGTTCAAAATAAAAACATGTTAGAAAAGTTGAACTTGCATAAGTAGTTACAGTAAATAAACCTACATGACAGAGAGAAACTGGAAGGCAGCGGACACAACATCCATCTAAAGACAGACTCACTGGAACCTATTTACAAAGCGCTGTAAACAAAGTAAATATGGAAACATTGCTGTCCATCCGGCATGGCTTCTTTTCCTTTTTAGTTAAGTTTCTTGTCTTGGTTTTTTTTGGCTTCTAGCTCTTGACAAAACGCTTGATCCAAACAGTCCCAGTGTGCCCTCCACCACGTTACACCTCACACACATGCATATGTACACAGCACAGGTTTCAACTCAACCGGGGGGCAGCGAGGAACCATTTTTACCCTCTCCTTGGAGTGTGAATGGCCCTTGGTTTGCTTCATTCCATGAGCTGCACACCTAAACCTGGTCCCCATCCCACCTCTGGGCAAGCAGGAGGACAGGACAGTGCCAGGGGGTCTGGATATGGCATCCCGGAACAGCCACATCCCATGTGCAGCACCATGGGATATGATTAACCAGCACAGCAGGGCCTGACTGCCAACCAACCCAGTCCACGGTGTGCCTGGGTAGGGATGTGGAGAGCTGCCATCCAGAAGGGATGCTCTGGAGCAAAAAAGAACCTCTGTTCTGGCCTAAAAACAGCTTTAAGAGGGGTTCTTTTCCTGCTCCTTGTTTTGGAGCGTAGCTCTCCCCAAACACCATTTCTGGCTCAACTCTAACTGCAAGGAGGGAGCTGTAATTATTGCCTCTGTTATGTCCTTCATGACCAACGTAAGCCATGAACTCATGAGCTGTGGTGCGTCTGCACACCCTGGAACCATGCTGCCCAGTGATCCCAGTGATATACATAAGACTTATCATTAACAGAAGGTTACTTTTATAATGCTGCTAAGGAAGGAAGGAAAAGTTGTTCTAACTGAGGGCATAACACCAAATAGGGTGGACATAGCTGATACATATGCATGTTGTCTGTGTGCTGCGTTCGAGGAGCTGTGCAGGAATCTGAGGGGTGTCGCACATCCGTGCCCCAGGAGCATTCCAGCTCTTGTCAAAGCATAAATAACCTTCCTATCCCAAGGGAAAGTTCCTTTTCCCTAGCAGAAAGCCCCTTTGGGGCCATGGGGGGACAAGTGGCCATTGCCTACATTCCCAGCCTTTGGGATGGAGCGTCGGCGAGCCTAAGGTGAAGGGAGCAGGGGACCAGCACATTTGGGGGTGGTGTTGGTTGTCAAGCAGTGTCTATATTTCATACAGAGAAAAGCCTGTCCTGCGAGGGGAAGCACAGCAAGACTCTAAACTGATACGATACCTGGACACTCAATATGGAAACAAAGCAGGGCAGAAGGAGGTGTGGGTCATGCATCAGGGAAGGGATGGGGGGACAGAAGAGCAGTTACCTGTTGTGCTAATAATGAGCTGTCGGGAGGCAGCACTGCGCAACACACCTTTCCCATGCGCTCTGACAGGTGCTCCAGCTCTCACTTCCCCAAGGAATTCCAATGTCTTCATGAGAATTGCACATTTGAATCAGGATCAAGGCCACACGGGAACCACAGTATTGCTGGGCTCTAAGTTCGCTACAGTCAACTAATGGGGAACAAGAAGGTGGATGGGAAGAGCTTCCCCAGTTGTGATTATCTGAACAGAGGAGCACGGTGCTTTTTGGTTTCTGCTCAATGCCACCTCAATAATGTTTTCATTCAATAAATAGGTACCGGTGCTTTTGATAAGAATGAAAGCATTAAAAAGTGCTCAAGCTTCCTCTTAGGAAACTGCTGCCAAACCCTTTGTGAGCAGCAATCATTTAGCAGAGTTTGTATTTGCTCCCAGTAGCAGGTACGATGAGGTATTAGTTGCTGCAGATGAATTGTGAATCATGGACCGCTTGCTTACTGGTTTAGCTGTGATTGTTTCTGCTCTATTTCCTTACTGCGTGGAAGGAAAACTATGGAATATTTTTTTTCTCTAGGACTCTTTTTTTTGGTAACAAAATTCCCCAAACCAACAAAATAAGGAGCAAGAAGAGGCAAAGGATCCAGTTCCACTTCCCAAAATCACCTGAGGTCACACACCACTGCCAGCAGCTTCTCCCCTTGCTCAGGCGATCAGGGACGACTTGCGCCCCGTGTCCTCCCTGCCGCACTCATCCGTCTGCTTCAGCAGCCTCCTCACCAGCTTCTCCAAGTCCTTCCTGGATTTCAGCTCTTCCTCCAAACACTGTTTCATCCTCTTGTTCTCCTGCGAGGTGAGAAATAAAGGAAGGAAGATGCAGTCGATGCCCACATGCACTTCATGCAATGAGGCACTGCCTGGTGCCTCCAAGGTGATGAAGCATGAGGGACGTGTCATGTGTTGAGGATGAACAACACGGGTTACTTGTGGTCTGATCCACTCAAGCAGTCCCTTACTACCCTATGGACCTGCACAGAATGACTTTGAGCAGGCAGAAGCATCCTCCCGGAAACATGATTTTAGCCTAGGTTGGAGGACCCTGTTCCTCTGGGGTGCTCTCTCCCCACCTCCAGGCTTGGGGCTGGAGGGAGGAGGATGTATTTCCTCTCAGTCTACAAGAGCTGGTAAACACCAGACCCCTAGAAAACAAACACTCATAGAGCCCCAGCCTGGTTTGTGTTGGAAGGGATCTCAAAGCTCCTCCAGCTCCAACCCCTGCCACGGGCAGGGACCCCTTCCACTAGAGCAGCTTGCTCCAAGCCCCTGTGTCCAACCTGCCCTTGAACACTGCCAGGGATGGGGCAGTCACAGCTTCTCTGGGCACCCTGTGCCAGTGCCTCAGCACCCTCACAATAAAGAACTTCCTTAGATCTAACCTGAACCTCCCCTGTTTTAGTTTGAACCCATTACTCCAGTCAAGTTGAAAGAGCTTTTAGAATAGGGAGAAAGTTTTATGTTACCACAAGGACCAACTGCTCCTGCCCTCCTACTGCCTCAAACAATTGCATGCTGACCTGATTGAGGGAGCTGCAGGATCACACCAGCAGTGGGCAAGACTCTTCCTGGGCACCAACCAGTCCAAGACAACAACCCAGTATAGCCTGGGTGGCTTTTGCTCGGCTCCCAGCACGAACAATCCCCTTAAATTACCTGCTTTAGTTCTTTGACTTCATCTTTCAGTGCATAAACCGTGTCAACAAGGCTCCTGCAAAGAGAAATGCAAGGAAAGAGCTGGAGTGCAGCGAACCAGCAACACGCATGGGAGGTTTTGTGAGCGAGGTGCTGATGGGGATGGTGCTTCTGCTTTGCAAGCATCAAGCTGCTGCCACTGCTGCTGCCTATGAGGGGACTCTGGAAACACAGCTCATTTATAAGCCACTGGTCCAAAATTCAAGGCTCTCTTCTCAAACCTCGAGAAAAACACCTTGCTCTGCTCTCTTGAGGGTATCAACAAAGGTCTGTGGCTTTGGCTTCCTTGTTCATGCTACTGCAATAGATACCCATGAGTTTAGAACTGGAAATGCCCGAGTATCCGTTGTAAAACAGCCTTGAGCCCCTTGAGGTTATGCTGCAAAGAACCAAGCATGAAAGGAATGCACTGTCTGGGTGAGGAAAGGAGTGGATCAGCGCAGTCACCCAGCTGCTGAAGCTACATAGGAGAGCCCTCACAGATGGGGTGCCAGGCAGCAACCGAGGGGCAGCAGCACCCCACTATGGCAGTAGTTAAAAGAGCCACTTGTTTGGTTCTGTCCTGCATCCCGATCAACCAACTGGCTGTCAGAACCCAGTTCCCAGACTCCCAAGGGCTGCAGCCACGTCAGAGCAGCTGGAAGGCGGCTCTGCTCCTAAACAGGGCCAAAAGAGCAACTGGAATAGCCCGGTGGCTCCTGCCGGCACTATGGCAGCAGTCGGTGATACCAGCAGAGGCCAAAGGAGAGGGCCTGGGTTTTCCAAGTCTTCCCAAAAAGCAACAAGGGATCGGGAAGCAGGGAGCAGCAGCGCTTACTTTTCCTCCGTGACAGTCTGGCCGTTGCTTCGTGTTTCCTCTATGATGATTTTCTCTTCCTCAGGAAGAAGGACTTGGGGGATGGAGTCTTTACGGGAGCCTGTGTATGAGAGTTAATCATCGGGATGGAAAAGGGGGATGCGCCCCTGATGCCCTCCTTCTCCCTGCCCCTCTGCACGCTGGAGCTGCAGCAGCCTCCAGCCACCTGCCATGGTTAAACACAGGCTGATGGGTACCGCCAACCTGGAGCTAAAACAGCCATGGGGGAGTTTTCAAGAGTGCTCACTGCATCTAAAGCTGCATCATGACTTCTAAATGAGACCATTCGAGTAGGGTCAAGAGCTCTCAGAACCACGGCCCCTCTTTTCCACATTACAGTGATTTAATTTGCCATCTCACCAGCAATGATAAAATAGTTTTATTTCCAGAGCTGAAGCTGTTAGGTTCTTATGAAGCAACGTCAACAAGCAGCTGATTGAGAGATAATACTCATGCTTCCTTTCTAAAGCTCTATGCAACCCGAGATTACCATCAGGTTGTCAGTGCCGACAGCCACAGGACCTGACTAGGTTTGCTTAATTCCTTAGTGCTGGTGAAATAGCTGTGTCTCATCTGCCCTCCTACCTCCTTCATTCTCTGTGTTTAGAAGAAAAACAATGGCAACTAAACCACTAGGCAGATAAAGCTCCCTTATCTTGAATACCACAGTTTCCAAGCATGACTCTCAGTGCTGTATGATGCAACCCTCTGTTTTTTCCCAGAGGGGTTATCAGTGCTGTGGGCAGAGTAAGAGCTAAACAATGTGGTTGTGTGCCCACCTGAGCTGAGAGCTTGCTGGAAACCTGCCCCGGTGCAGTATGCCTCGATCACCTTCAGGATCTGAGCATCTTCTTCCAGCGCAGCGGTACCTGTCAAACATTGCAGACAGCAGCTATCACACAAAGTCATGTTCTCCGTGTTCATCTCCCCCAGCCTTTGCTCCCAGGTCCCTTAAGAGAAGCAGGTGCTGCTTCCTTGACTGACACTGCCCCTGGGACTTTGTCCTATTCCCCTTTGAGATCCTGCTGGAGTGAGGCCAGAGGAGGCCACGGAGATGCTGCGAGGGCTGGAGCAGCTCTGCTCTGGAGCCAGGCTGAGAGAGCTGGGCTGGGTCAGCCTGGAGAAGAGAAGGCTCCTGAAGGGGAGACCTGAGAGCAGCTCCAGTGCCTGAAGGGGCTGCAGGAAAGCTGGGGAGGGGCTTGGGACAAGGGATGTAGGGACAGGCCAAGGGGAATGGCTTTAACCTGCCCGAGGGCAGACTGAGATGAGCTCTTAGGCAGAAGCTCTTCCCTGTGAGGGTGCTGAGGCGCTGGCACAGGGTGCCCAGAGAAGCTGTGGCTGCCCCATCCCTGGCAGTGTTCAAGGGCAGGTTGGACACAGGGGCTTGGAGCAAGCTGCTCTAGTGGAAGGGGTCCCTGCCCGTGGCAGGGGTTGGAGCTGGATGACAGCTGCCAGGACACCCCTCTCTGCCAGTGGACACCCCTGCAGGGAAAGAGCCTTTTTGTGTTCCCATGGAGCCTGTTCCAGGACCCACTGGCATGGTAAGGGTTTGTCCCAGCTCTCAAGAGTCCCGTGATCTTCAATTTTGGTGCCTGTTGATGCACAGTTTTACAGCAGCTTTTATATACTTGGAAGTCGTTCCTTGGCTTTGTACCCAGAACAAGACCACCCCCAACCCAAGACCTTGTGCTAGGATGGCAGCATGTCTGGAGATCTGTTGGAGGCTTCCAGAAGCCTCCCATGCTCAGCAGCACACAGGCTTGCTTCCAACGTGGGCATCCCATTGTACCAAGGTCCCGTGGGGATCACTGAGTACAGAGAAGCCTCCAAGAAGAAAAGGAAATCACAACACTCACTTTTCCGGATAACAAACTCTTCATCTGATGGTTTTCTCTCTGTTTTCCTTTTTGGAAGAAACTTCTTCATTGTTTTGGGACTTTTGCTGGAATCCTATAGAGAAACAGACCCTCGTGTTTAACCAGATTAAGGGGCAGCTCTAACAGCAGAGCAGCACAGTTGAATGCAGCTACGTCCTCGATATGCACGACACTTGAGAGAGCTACAAAGCAGACAGTGACAAAGTTGAAGACAAGGATGCTTTCTGCCTTTTCCATGTGCTGGTTGTGGCCCACTGCTGCCTGCAACAGCAGTGGGGATTGCACCAGGACAAGCCCCATAGCCAAAGATTTCAAACGCATTCACAGCACTTTTAGTCTGCTCACGTTGGTGGTCTTTGTTAGAGAACCCTGTAAGGTCATTTATTTCCTTGGCTTGCTTTGATTTCCCATATAAAACAGCTGGCAAATACTATTGCTCCTAAATGCATTCATTTGAGAGTATAAATCCCACACACATACACAGAGAACAAACACGTACACATGATGTTAGTGTTTGCTGTCACTCCACAGGTAAGAAACACAAGCTTTTATCTATCTCCTTCACTGAGCTACAAGTCTTGCTGATTTGGAGAGAATTAGTGTATTAGTAGGTTACATGCAATACGGATTTTGAGCAGGAGGGGCTTGCCAGGAAGTTTAAGACCATAATACTAAATCCTTCTGGAAAGTTAACTCAAAATGTACTTGCCAGCCACTACTGACTCAAGATAACTCACTGATACAGCCAGGCAAGGGGAGGGTCATGCAAGCACGAGAAGCGTGAACAGGAACAAGCATTCTTTGCCACGACAAGCCAAAGAGAGATGTGTCTACCCTTACCTTTAAGATATAAGACATCCTCTACAATGAATATGCAAAGAAAGAGAAGATGAGTGTGAGAAATTGATGGTTTTATTGACCGGGTCCATTAAATCCACAATTCTAAAACACATTTCAATGTTAGTGATTAATGTGGCACACCCTCCGTACTGCTTTCAGAGCACTATCGACATGCAAAGGAGCACGGTGGCATGCAGAACTGAAAACATTATATGTGAAACGCATGGTAAGTGGGCATTAATACACTCTAAACACATAAAAATAGAGAACATGCCTCCTTGGTTAGTAGTAGGTTTCTGTAGGTGCTGGTTGTCTCAAACAGTGCTTATAATGCAGGACCCATTGGTACCAGGAATGCTGCAGCCACCCTGCTCGCCTGGCTCCATCCGAGCCCTGGGGTGCAGCTTAGGGCTCAATACCAGCCCTGTGGTCTTCAACCCAACCCAGCCAGGGTGATGGGATGCTCTGCCCACCCTGGTGCTCCCAGGACAGCATCTTCTCCAAGGGGACCTCCTCGGAGGGAACCTGCCATTGACAGCATCAGGCACCAGCATCTCCCTGCTCTGCTGGCAGGACAGGGAGCTCCTGGACACCCCACGGAGGCTCCCATCCCTGGGATGCTCAGCCCAGGGAGCCATGTGGCTCTCCTACAGGTCTGACCAGCCAAGTCCTGAGCCCTGATGTTACAAACCCTTCACCTAAGGCAAAGCAGGCCACTTCAGATAAAGAAAGAAAAGAGAGCAGAAGAAACCATCTGTAAACCTGGGTTTTTTCCCTTCTCAAACCTGAATCCTGACACAGGGCTTTACGCACAGCACCTGCTCTGTCATTTCAAATGGTTACTGGAAACAGAACAGGAAAAATGACCCAATTTCAATGGAAACAACACGAGTGCCGTGCAGTGCACAAGCAGGCTCTGGGGTTTCCTGAGCACAGCGAGGTACAAGGAAATGCACAAGACTCTGCCAGCCCGTCCTACACTACAGCTGAAGTCACACTGGATGTCTGAACATCTTATCCAAACTCCCCCACTCACTTCCATGCAAATAACCTTTGCAACTTTCATTATCCTTCATTACAGGAAGCACGGAGCTCATTTTGTGCCCCATTTTAAATCAAAAGCAGAGAAGTGAAATAGGAGTGATTAGTGATTGAGCACCCGGAGGGAGGGATGAGGAAGATGGAGATCTGCTTGGGCCAACAGTTAAGCTTATCTCCCATCACAGGCTCGTGTTCTCCTTTGAGAGTATGGACTGATCCTACTCCGCCTCTGGTGGACCCATCGGCCTTTGGGTTCCCACCAACGTGGCCAGCACAGCCTGTTCCTAAGCAAACCACACAATGGGTCCTTTGATACCTTGCACGCCACCATGCAGCCTGCAGCAGCATCCCATTCTGTCTCTGTGGGGCATAAACCTCGTGCCTAGTTGTGACACTAAGAGTTTAACTCCTGCTCTGCATGAGGGGACAACTGAGAAACTGCAAAGCACCGTGGTGTTAGTGATATCACTCAATAGGGTGACATGGTTTGGTCTGCCTTAGAAATAAGTATCAGCCTTTCACTTTCACACCGGAAAAGTTTCTCTTCTTCTTTGCCTTTCTAGCCTATTTTAATTCACCATGCAAGCAAGCACCAGTTTAGCTTATGTTATGGATCCGGACCATGCAAAGATCAAGGGTCATTTCCAGTCTGCCTGGTTGAACAACTAAATTCCCACAGTGAAATGAGCTCTTTTACACCTTCTAAGAAATCAAAGTAACCCAATGCCATGAGGCTACCTGAAATCTCTACCTGGAGCAGCAAACCCACAGCCCCCTCGGCTGCTGGCTCTCCATCCCTGACTCCTGGGCCCCCATCCCCCTGGGAGCCCAGGCAGTGATGCTCCCGGTGCTGCTGTACCCAGAAGAGCAGCTGACTCAGAACCAGAGTGCTCATTCAGGAAGGGGAACGTCACCCAAGCTGCTGGTGAGTAATCCCACAAGTTTACCGTGAGGCAGGGAAGGAGAGCGTTGCAGTTGCAGCAGGGGGGTGAGAAGCAGAGCTGGGTTGTATTTTGGGGTTCCCCACGCCACCTCCTAGCTCCCAGGCTTGAGGTTTCTGTGGAGGAAGCGTTCCTTGGGGCTGCTGCCTCCCATGCAGGCTATGGGTGTGTAAAACACTGAGGTGGGTGGCGAAGGAGTGCTGCAGGAGCCCTCCCTGCTCCATCCACCAAAACACAGGGTGGGAGACATGAAAAACATCAACAGGCTTTTCTCCTCCTCCTCCTCCTGGTGCAGCATCGCTTCTCCATCCTGCAGCACCAGCAAGGCTGGAGCTGGAGCACATCCCAGCAGGGAACCCATGGCTCAGACTAAGGCAGGACGAGGAGAGGATGCAGCTCCACCACCCACCATGGCACTGCCAAAGGAGTCAATGGGACACACACTGCGGGACCTGCAAGCACACGTGCTCACGCTTCACGTGCAGCACAAAGCCAGCCACAGCGACAAACGCCCATCACAGGGCTGGGGCAAAGCTTGGCAGAGCCATTGCTCTCAGCATCCCATCAACCTGAGCTGCTGTGCCCCTGCTATGGGATGAGAAACCTGGACACGAGCAGCAGGGATGCTCTGCAGGCACACGGGGTGGTTACCTCTTTGTAACTCAGCGCTGCCGAGGGTCTAAGTGGAGGAGCAGGACGGAGGCAGCTCAAGCTCCAGGGCTTGAGGATTTTGGGGGGTTCCAGAGGCCCACGGGTCTGTCCGGCTGAACTAAATGCCTGGGAAAAGAGATGGGAAGCAGATGAAGGCTGTTAGCCACCGAGCAATGCAGGGGTGGACAAGAGTTCAGTGGGCAGGATACACGTAGAATGGTACACGCACGACCCAGTTACAAACAGAACTGCAGCATGTGTCTTATAGCTGTACCTCAATATCAAGGTGCATTCCCTCCCCAGCATGAGGGAACGCTGGGCATGGAGCAGATGGAGATGAGACACTCACCGAATGAGCATTCCAGGACTGTGTTTTGGAGATGGTGTTGCACGTCCCCTTGGTCAGCCTTTGCAAGTGGTCCAGCCATTCGTGCAGGTCCTGGCTGGAGCTGCAGGACACAGTGATCCGCTCCGTCATGTTCCCTGTGGCAGAGGGTGAAAGAACAGTCTTTAGGTAACAGTAGAGACACACAGGGTGAGCTCAGCTCGGCACAGCCACAGGATGCTCCTCAGACTGCAGCATCTACTGTCTGCAACAGGCCAAGGCAAAGATGTGACTGTGTCCTGCTCCAGGCACCCAGTGTGGGAGCTGCACAGACAACCGAAGGGAATTGGTGAAACGAATGTGTGAGGCATTACTGCATGTTAAAGGCAAGCAAATGCGACATTTCCATGGTTAACAGGACCCTGACACCAAATGCCAGCAGCACAAACAGCCAAGGCACTGAGCATGAATTGACTGTGTATAGCTGCAGGTGATAAGTTGAAAAGGAAAACTGGGAGGAACATTAGGAAAACTCTTTAATGACCAGAGCTGCCAATAACTGAGGTGCTCACAGCTGCATGGGATGGATGCTGGATGCAGACAGGGCACACACAGCCCAGAGCAGTGCTACTGGGGAAGGTGATTTATCCCATACAGAGCACTGAAGGTCTCCAAAAGCAGCCCAGAGGCAGAGCTGGAGGGCGCTGGGAGGAGGTTGCCTCAACCAGGAGGGAGATGCTCAGGAATGTGCAGTGAAAGCACACAGTAAAGGGTGGTGCAGGGGTCAGGGCAAGGAGGAGACCACCGGCACCTCCAGTGGCAGCTGCTGTTGGGACTGGGAGCATGGCCTGAGCCACTGACCTGTGATTTCAAACATGTGCTCATTCCCTTCAGCATCTTCCAGCTTTGTCAGTGTCATTCCCGTCAAAGGCAGCCTTCCCTAAGGGAATTGAGGAGGAGTCAGTGTCTGCATCGGCTTCCCGGCGGGGGTTGTTCTGCTTGTTTTCCTGCCAATTCCTTTCTTTTTAGGAATCGCCATTAAAAACTCATTTGTAAAGGCTCCTGACTGCAGGAAGAGTCTCCTTGAATGTACGGATCTCCATTTCCCTGCACAACTAGGTCAAACCCTGGGAAGAGGCTCCCATGACAACTGAGTCATTCCCAGCTCATCTTCTACCCCTTCCCTTCACTAGATGCAAACCCTTTGTACAACCAAGTCAGAAGGACCAACTTGCCCTGGGTCTGGGGAAGCCTTCGCTGTGCCTCTGCTCTGCGTGTTGAACTGCCTGCTTACAGATGAAACCCAAAACCCCCAGCCGAATCCTTCCCAAACCTCTCCCATCTCTCCTGGGTATGACAAACGACATGTCAACACAAGAGCATCCTTCTGGAGTGTATTATTGATGGCTTCAGGCAACCAGAGGGAAACCAAGCTCCCAACAGCCTGGCTGCAGCCATTCAAATGGTGAAACTCAAGAAATACAGAGTTTTTGGGTGCCCCATGGAGAGGAAATGTTGAGCTCTTTACAGTGGGCTTTACAGTAGTGAAATATTCCCTAGTGAGGGCACAACACTGAAATCGTAGGGGGCAAACCTCTACGGCTGGGTCAGGACACCTTCACATCCACATCCTTCTTGAGGACAGCCCGCAGGCCACCATGCTCTGCAGGTTTTCCTTCCTAATTTCACAGCATTCACCTACCAAACGCTGTTCAACCACCCGGCAGGACAAAGGCACCAAGTGGCCTGGTAACACCAAACCCAAGTTCCCAGCACTTGCATGCCACCAGCAAGGTTTAAGGAAGCAGAGAGGGTTGAATTTGATAGAAGCTATCTGATTTCCTCCCTCACACCCAACGCCTTGCAGCTTCCAATTCAAACTGAGCGTGCCTACCTGATAGATGAACCCACTCATCCGTGGGCTTGCAGACAGCATCAGCAGAACGTTTGAAAACAACAAGAAATAGCGCTCCTCTTTCTCCTGCAGGGACATGAGTGTAGGTTAGGCCAGCCTGCAATGCCTCCCAAGCGGTTTCCTCCAGCAAACTGGACTTGTTGCAGCTGGAATCACAGCCTGGGAGAGATCCCTCCCCATACCCATTATTAGGGCTTTTCTTCTTTACAGCATCTCATTGCTGTCCTAGTTTTCCCTGCATACATCTTTGCCTGCTGATCCTCTCCCGGTCATTTCAAACTGCCTCCTAAGACCTTATGTCCTTCAGCATCTCGCATCCCAAACCAGGCTCTAGGACCAGACCCTACAGGGCTTTGTTTTACAGCTCTTCCCTTCCTGGGGAGTATTTGCTACAGCAAGCAAGGAATTCAGTGAGAACAGGCACCTTCCCACACCAAACACGCAGTGTGCATGGCTTTGACAGCACTGGTGAAGGTCTGTGGTGTGATGCTCCAGGCCCAGCAGCACAGGAATCCCTCCAGCTATTTCCAAAGCACAGTCAGCTCTGGAGTGGGACGTCACAGCATCACAGGAAGTGCAAAATGGTTATGGTAATGCATACTTCGAAGTCACTCTCATTTCTCAGAGTCAGTCACAGGGGGGAAAGGGGGAAATGAATGTGCTATATGACACTGAGATGCTCCTGCTTGAGGAGTGCATCAGCAAAGACCTGAAGCTAAGTCACCAGGGTGCCTGACTCCAAAGACATGCACAGTCCCGCTGTGTAGCTCTTCTCTGGCTGAAATGATTTGTTAGCATTGCTTGTCAGTGCTTTGCTGGCCTGGAGTGAGAGCAGCTGCTGCCTGATGCCGTGAGCAAAGGAGTATCTGGACACAATGCCTTTAGGCAGGAGGAGGACCACTGCACTCACCTCGCTTCCCCCGCACTGCACCATAACCTGGGACATGTAGATGATGCTTCCCATCGTTTTTATGTCCTCTCCTTCCCAGCGCTGGATGGATTCGGACAGGATCTGCAGCTCGAGTTGTTTCCTCTTCCTCAGCTCCTGGCACTGTGTCTGGGAATGGCAGGGAGAGGCTTCATTAGCCAAGAGGGCAGGAGCAAACTCAAACCATCCCAACAAAGACGGGATGCTCCCACAGCCACATGGGCTCAGGGCTGGTCATGTCAAGGGATAGGCAAAACCTGCTTGGGTGCTATTACACAGAGCTGGTTACAGATTTAGTGATCTATGAAGCACTGAACACATGAAAACGTCACCAAACATGCACCCTGCACTGAGCAAGCTTTTCTTTCCAAACCAGTGCCACCTCTGAGAGCACAGAGTCACAGTTTCCAAACCCAAGACAGCCACAGGGTGACAAGTCTCCCTCTTTGCTGGTGCTCACAGAGGTTTTGCCCATTTTGCCCAAGCAGCAAAGAGAGTTTTAGTTGCAGCAATGCAAAACCCCTGTGAATCAGTTGGGGGGGGGTGTTTTGTAACCAGAATCTGCAAACCCAGCAGCAGGCCTTGGCGCAGTGTTCCAGCAGAGCAGCCCAAAGAGAAGGTGCTGTCATTGAAAGGACTGCACCGATGCTCAGCAGCTGGGCACTGGAACAGCTCCATGGAGCCGCCAGTCCTTCAGCAGCTCTCGGCAAGCAGAGGACAGCACTGACGGAACAGACAGTCCTGCAAACCCAAGCAAGGCTTGCTTTAACTGACCCTCTGCCAAGGAAAAGCAGCTGCTAAGCCAAACCCGGGCTCAGTTCTCACCAGATACTTGGGTTTTTCCAAAGCCCTGTTCCTGGCAGAGATTCTCCTCTTTTCCCAGCTCAGTTTCATACAAACTCTTTGCCTACCCAGATCTTCAAAGTGAGACACTGCACTGGGGCTAGTTTGAATGTACGCATTTGAACCAAGCTGCGGGGGCCTCCTCTGGTTTTGCAGCTCCAAATCCAACATTCCCAGGATGCAAATCCATATAAAATCCACACCAATCCATCACAGCTTGTGCAGAGGCACCACTGCAAATCACAGCAGCAACATGGTCCGTCCCTGGTCCTACTGTGGGACCAGACATCTGTCACGAGGGGCATCTCTGCCCATCTGACCTCAGATCCGCACTGAACCTCTTCAGTTATCTCATAATTACATTAAATTACTCAGCACCCAAGTGCACATTTCAAGTAAACCCATCCATTGCTTACGAGCACTCCTGTAGATTAACATCACCTTGTAACTTCACTGAATTATTGCCCTATTATCTACCAGAACAAATGGAAGGGGAGCTGGGTTTCTAAGTAAATGTAATATAATCACCCTTTCCTGTTTTCTATGAACTTTCTCCTCCCCATCTTTTATCTGCACTGCTAAGCACCGAAAAACCTGCATCTGCAGTGCTAAGGAAGGAAGCTGGACCACATCTGGAGTGGTTGGAGTGAAAGGTATTCAGGCCACAAAGTGAGAGAGACTACAGCTTCCTTAACAACTGAGGAAAGCTTTGCTGGGTAAAAGCTTTGTGCACGTGGGTGGCTTTTCCCCCTCTTTTTCCTCTCAGTGCAGCAGGACTCGGAGGGGTGCAGGTAACCCAGCTCCCAGGAACAGGTCTGTTAGCTCGGACTCGGCCCTTTGCTTGCTCTGTTCCCCACAGCAAAGTCCATATTGCAATATGGTCAAGGTCTCCTGACACCCCTGGAGCAAAAATCCTCTACAAAACCAAAAGTCACCCGATGGGCACCAGCAGCTGAGTCAGGCAACCCTGGTAACCTTTCACAGCTCATCTCAGCAAGCACGGGGCGCTCTGGATCAGGGTATGGAGGCAAAAGGACATGAAAGGGACCCTGTCACCACCACCACCCACATGTGGCTTTCTGCCACAGAGCACACCGAGCATCCTTCATCCCTTCATCCCTCCTGCTGGGAGCACGGAGCCGAGGTGCAATTGCTGGGAACACGCAGCCAGAGGGGCAGCTCTAGACTTGAGACTTGAGATTAAGATGCTTTAAACCCCATCTTTTCCATTCCAGAAGACTTATTTTGTTTCTAATGGAGGAGACAAATGTCAGGCTTGACTCATCCAACGCAGCCCTGAAACGGAGCGTGCTATTTTAAGAACTGCCACCTACCACAAGGGACTTGAAGGATGTGAGGGCTTTCAGAACCTCTTCGTGATCTGCATGCGCCTCCTAGTGAAGGGAGAGAAGAAGCCTTCAGCCACCGCCACCACCAGCATCATCACCCTGTGCAGCACCCACTGCCCCAGGGCATCCAGGGCTGCAGAGCCCACAGGGGGGATGCAGGGCAGAGGGGCCGCTGGAGGGGACAAAGCCTCCCAGGTACCTTCCTCACCACCCAGGTCAATGGGATGTGGTTTAAAGCAACCATGCAATTCATTAATACCAATTTCATGAGTGTAAAGTGGGCACAGCAAGAACAGATGTGATTTCATTCAGGACAAACTCAGCTTGCAAAGAAAATCAATGAAACCAGGCAGAGGTGTAGGGTGGATCGCTGGTTTCACCTTCAGGAAGGAAACTCCCATTGGCATGCATGGTATTGTAGCCATTGCCCCATCAAGGGTGCCATTTCCATGAGCATCAATGGGACCTTCACCTCCAGGCTGAAGGCAGCAGAGAGCTCCTGGCTGAGAGAGGGGAAAGCAGGATGCTGCCCCTTATCTCTGACTGCAGCTGCATGCTAGTGCTCTCCTAGCACCTCCTCCTGGATCTAGGGCCCCACAACATAAGCTCTTCACCATGCAGGCAGGTGTCCAGCTTGTGATGGAGCAGTCCCTGCAGCTGTCAGGGATTTCTCACCTCTGAATCTGGGATGAGGACTGCCCTGAACATACCTACCCTGTTTCCAGCTGCACAGCAGCAGAGGGAATGCTCTGGTACACTCGACACTGCATACATCTGCATTGGACACATCCATCCTCCTCCCACGGCATCACAGCTTAAACCTCAACCCTACTGATTCATGCAACAAACCTCCCACGCTCGGCTTAGAAACTAGGAGGAATAGGTGATGTGTGTGCCCCTGAATCCACTGCTGAATCCCACACAGCATCCTGTACAGAGCACACTGTCTCTGCACGGGCATGGTGGCTGCAGCCACGCTCAGCTCAGGCCCTGCAGCCTGGTGAGAGCAGGACAGGTCTGTGATGTGCACACAGTGCTCTTACACCCTATGCCAGTGCCTCAGCACCCTCACAGGGAACAGCTTCTGCCTAAGAGCTCATCTCAGTCTCCCCTCTGTCAGGTTAAAGCCATTCCCCTTGGCCTGTCCCTCCATCCCTTGTCCCAAGCCCCTCTCCAGCTTTCCTGCAGCCCCTTCAGGCACTGGAGCTGCTCTCAGGTCTCCCCTTCAGGAGCCTTCTCTTCTCCAGGCTGCCCCAGCCCAGCTCTCTCAGCCTGGCTCCAGAGCAGAGCTGCTCCAGCCCTCGCAGCATCCCCATGGCCTCCTCTGCACTCACTCCAGCAGCTCCACGTCCCTCTTGTGCTGCTGCCCCAGAGCTGGATCAGAGCTGCAGGGGGGTCTCCCCAGAGCACAGCAGAAGGGCAGGATCCCCTCCCTGAGCTGCTGCTCACGCTCTGGGGGTGCAGCCCAGCACATGGGGGAGTCAGGCTGGGATGTGCAATGAATGACCCTGGTGAAGTGTGCTGAGTAATTAACTCTGGAAGAGGGAAGAAGCAAACCCAGCTAAACCCAGACTTTGTTGCTTCTGTTTCCTTCACCTCCTTAGCCCACCCTCGGGGTTTACATGTTGCAGCATCCACAGGCGAGGAGCAGAGCTCCATCAACAGAGATCTCTACAGGAGAGGGGAGGAGACATGTCCTGAAATAGATCTGCCACTCGCTGAGGGCCTCTGTGTCCCTTTCCTGCTCCCTCTGCTCCCAGGCACTCACCCAGTGTCTGCCCTGGCTGCCAGGTCTACCTCTGCCTCCATCCCGGAGCACGAGCCTGGGGTGAGGGCTGGGAATGTGCCTGGGAGCAAGTGGCACCGGAATGTCATGAAATGGAAATAAAAACAGTGATTTATTAACCGCTGTGCAAATAAATACCAGCTGTGGCCTGACCCTCAACTCTGCTTTTACTTGGGCTGGAAATAGCCCGTCTCTGAGGATGGGCTGGAGCAAAGAGCAGGCAATGCCTTCCTGCAACATCCCCGACACTTCCACTGCTTCCTCACTTCTAATCTGAATGGTAGCTAATATCCCCCGGAGGTGGGACACCTCCTCGGAGGGTAGGAGGGGTAGTAAGTACTTGTAGCAATGTGGTGCTTGAGCAGTTTGAGGTGGAGGGGGCAGCATCAAGGGGCACATCCTGCCCAGCAGCCCCCCCTGCATCCCACCTACCTCCATGTGCCGCTCCAGCTCCTGCAGCAGCGTCACGTATTTATCCAGCCTCAGGAAGGGTTTGCTGAGGCTCGTGGTCAGGATGAGAATGCCGGGGTTGGCCGCACCCTGGCTCTCCATGAACTTCTCCAGCTCATCACTATAAATAGAGACAACAACAAGGAGGAGGAGGAGGGCTCGCCACCGCCAAGGGCTGCGTTCTGCTGCCTCCCACACTCTCCTCATGGCCAGGGCTCTGCCTTTCCCAAGGCAGCTCAGCCACTCACTTTGAGCACCTCAGCACCACAGACCCAGCAGGGAGCTGTGAGCTCCCAGCCAAGCAAGACCCTGCTCCCCAGGGATGCAGGGGAGGTGCTGTGCTGGAGGATGCTGCAGCAGCGCACTGGGATGCTGCTGGGAGCAGTGATGCAGGTGGTAGCACGGACATCACCCCGGAATACATGGCCTGTGTGTGTCAGCACATCTGCCAAAGCTGGTTCTTGGACTGATTGAAGGAAAGGGGTCAGATTGAGCAACCACAAGAGTGAGTCATTTACAGGAGTCAGGTTTTGCGCTGGGCTGAATCAAAGCTGGATTTGGGGAGGTAAGTAAATAAATACATTGTGATCTCCCATTGCTGAATGGGAAGGCTTAAACAGTATGGCCAGGGGTTCTGGTTTTCCTATCACTGCAGGGAGGACAGCTAAAGTGCATTAGAGATGACACAGATGTATGCCTTTGGCTTGGCATGCTCTTTAGCACGACATGACTCAAATTCAAGTGGGACATGAAGAAAGATGGTATTACTGCTATGTACCAATGACCCTGCAAATCAACTATGTGCTTGAACAACTGACAACTCAGGTGACTGGGTGACTTGATGACCACCCTCCTTTTGCAGTGATGTACTCCACACACCATAGTGCCACACGGGAACACACTCCCCTGTGTGAGTGGGTCTGAAAGCAAGCAACAATCATAGGAGATGCTACTGCAAGGGCTGAGATTGCCTCTGTTCTACTGAAGAGTCCTGTATGGGCAGACAGGAGCTGTGAACACAAGCAGCACGAGTTGTGTCCATGCTGGAGCTAAGAGCCCAAAGCTCCAGCAGTTTTCCCAGCAGCAGGCTCCCATGTTATCCGCTTGCTCTATTGTCAAACTACAGTTCAGAAGCCACACGAAGCCAAGTGTTGATAAAAGGAACATTTTAAAGGTAGGATTTCAGCCTCCATCTCCTGCTCCATCACTCACCTGTGTTGTGTGAGCACGTTGACTGCTGAGGGGTGGTTAGCACAGTAGGTCAGGTACAGGGAGCGGAACTGGGGCATCAGGTTCATGAAACAGCCTCCCACACGCTGCTGGTTCTCGGGGAGCCTGTGGACACCAACTCGTCATGTTAAGCCTCTTGCTCTGCACCCTGCACCTACAGCGCCCTCAGGGATCTGCCCAGGGGCCACTTGCTGCACCAGGACATTCCCAAGCCACCATGTAACTGCAGCACAGAGCAGAATACCCAACGTTCCCAATATTCAGTCTCTTCCCCATCTGCTTTCAGCCCTTCCAAAGGAGAAGCAAGGCTAAGGCTGCAGACATCTGCTGCTTCCCTGTGGGAAATCATCACCCTTAATAACCTGCTCTTTGCCCGCTGGCAATCCCTACCTGCCTGCCTGCCAGGTCTCCCACCCTGTTTGTGTCTGCACCTTTGGTCTAGGTACACTTCCATGTCAGGTCTGGTGACACTCTCATTCAGCAGATGCCTTAACAGTAGAGATGTCAGAGCTTCTTCTACCTTCCCTCCTGCCTCTTCAATCCTGTTATTCCCTGCTCTATTTAACAAGCCTAAGACAGCAGCCAGGAGGAACATTAATGAACAGGTCTTTCTATTATTTTTAGCTGCAGTTTAATAGCTTAACCACCTCAGTGCTATGGCATGAGCTTACTTCGCAACTTCTTCCAAGGCTTGGTTCAGTGTCTGCTGGAATGCAGAGATTTCTTCCATGTTTCCCAGCAACGACGCAATGTCCCCAGCACTGAGCCTAAAAGAATCAAATCAACAAGGAGCATCAGAGAGGGGTCGCTCCAGGGAGCATCCCCCATGGTATCTGTCCTTCCAGAAAGACCCAGGAATTTCTCCTTCCCCGGCTACACCATCAGACATGGGAAAATCCAAACCCCACGATGTGCTACAGACCACAGCATCCCGGAGAAGATGCCTGCTGCCAAGGATTATCTTAATTGGATTTTAATCACTTAATCACACTAATCTGCTCCCATGTTTAGCTGTCTAATAGACACAGACAGACGGGATTTCAGCCAGGGGCGGGGAGGAAGGTGTGGACACAGACAGCTTTGTCTGCAGGGATTCACGCTGTGCGGTTCCCTGTGGCAGGAGGGTCCTGCAGAGCTGCTCCTTGGGTAGGGCTGGCTTTGTTCCTTGCGAGAGGTGGATTCTTCCTAGCCAAAGCCTTATGCGTGTGCTTCTGAGAGAGCCATCCCCAGAGTCCCTCTCGCACCACCCTCATTTGCTGCCTACAAGGCTGAGAGCACGAGATGTTTTCACAGCTGAATATATCCCACATGGAGATCTGGGGAGGGAGGAGAGGTTTAAATACAAAGGCCGTAAGACACCACTGCCCCATCTCTCCAGGCTGGACCACACTGCTCTTTGCCTGTGATGCTCTGGAGTACCCAGTCCCCCTGCAGCGTGCTCAGCCACAGGGACCCCAGCCCCAAACGCAGACACAAGGACAGGGTCACTGATGGCACCTTTGGAAGAAATGAGTGAAGCTGAAGCAATGCAGGAGGTGAAGATGTTGCACCAGGGTGAGACTGTCAATGGGAACCTACTGATAGGCACCAGCATGCTGAGTAAGCACAGGGCGGCGTGTGCTGCCTCTGCATGGATGGGAACACATCAGCTTCTTCCACAGGTAAGCCCTGGCAGTGTCCCTCCTGGTGCTGCTAAGGGATGGCAGCACACTCTTCCCAAGCATGGAGACACTTAAAAGCTGGTAGCTGTGCAGATGGGAATGCAGGAAGAGGGGAGTCACTTCTTGCCCAGCAGCAGTTTGGATCTAGCAAGAGGCAGTCTGACCACCAAGAATACACGGGATCGTGCACCAAGTAAAGAGAGGATGAGGAGGTACCCCCTGGGGCTGAGAAGTCACACCAGGGCAGACGGCAAGGGGAGAAGCCATGCAAGGTGTACCACTGGGAACGCGCATGGTGCAACAGCCACACAGAGGGTTTAACAGGAGGAGCTGCCCATCTCGAACACAGCCCGATGCCTGCAGCACCTCTGAGGAACAGGGAAGAGCAGGAGCTACAATGTGGGGGCTTTTGTGGTTCACGGGGAAGCTGTGAGGCTTTACAAGAAGAGCAGCAGCAAGCCCTCAACATCCACAAGCAGGGAAGTAATGAGCTCTGGTCCATTTTACGGGGTTCTCTGCACCTCGGATGCCCTTATAGCTTACTTATCGTAAGACTGGAGGGGTCTTAAGTAAGTTCCCAGAAGTGACTGTAGTTCCTTCGCATAATCTCGCTCTGTTTCCAGAATGTTTTGCAACACCTAAGGGTGAGAGACACAGCACTGAGTACATCCTTGTGCCAGCGACTCAGGAACACGACATCAGCTTCATGGCAGGGAAAAGCATGGAAGTGCATTTCAAGCCCATAGATTACATTTGCTAACGCAGACCCCAGAACGCTCAGGATTGGGAGTCCAATCTGGGGATTTGACTTTGGAAACTGGAGCAGGGCTGGAAAGGGGGTGTTAAAGGCTGCTCCTTCTCTGGCAAAGCGCGACGACAGCGTCAGCCCAGCTCCGAGTTCACCTCTCAGCAGCCAATTCATCCCTGGCCAACCCCTGCCTGCATGCTGCCGCTCAGCACTCAGGTTTCTCGGTGTGGATGAGCCTTGGGGACAGAGGAGGTGGTCCCCAGCTCTCTGGACACAGCATTTCTGCTTCGCTTTGCTTGAAACGCATTTAGACGCACTGATGAGCACGTCCCACCTGCGGCACGGAGAGCCGGGGATGTTCGCATGCAGGCGTCTCAACTCCCTTGCACTGCAGGAAGGTGCCTGCCCCCCTTTGCCAGATCTCAGGCTGGTGAAGGAGGTTCCTCCGTGCATTCTGCAGCCCCAGTTCATAGCCCAGGCCAGGCAAACAAGCCAGGCTGGGAGCTGTGGGGCTGCCCCATCTCCAAGGCACAGGCAGGGGTGTAACATCCCCAACCAACCCCAGGGATCAGAGCCCTCATCTGGCTTCCTTCATGCCCTGCCGTTATCTGCCCATCAACACCCTGCAGCCCACGGCAGTGACTGGAACAGAGACACTGTGCTCCCCAACATCCATCTCAAAGCTGCCACCTCCGCTGTGTTATCCCTAGAGTCTCTCCTCTTGACATCTAGCAGCAACTTCCATTCATTGTCTCGACAGCCCTAAATCAAGGGAATGGCAACAACCGCATTGAACTACAGTCACGTCCCCAGTTGTTACCAACTGCTCCAATGATTTCTAAGGGAAGGAGCCACTTCAGGAGCCTAATAATACACTGCTTATTAAAATGTATGATCAGCACTTTGGAACTTACCACCGGGTAATAATTCTTTGTCAGCTGAGTGCTTTCAAGTCCTTTTAACGCTTTGGGAGAGAGCGGTTTATCTGCACATAGAAAACACATCAGTAAATGACAGTGCACAGCTCGCATTGTCCCAGCAGGAAAAGTCAGCGCCACAAACATAGCATCACCCCCGTGAACACAGCCCTTCAGCTGCGGGGTGGTTTGCCTGCTTCAGAAGAACCAGGAGCAGCTCAAAGCTGTGCATCTGAAGGGGGTTACAAGGATGCTTGACATCGTTTCACCCATCAGGGACTGGTGGGTGACAAGGTCTAGTGTGAGGCGTCCCTGCCCATGGCAGGGGTGGGAACTGGATGATCTTAAGGTCCCTTCCAACCCAAACTGTTCTATGATTCTGTGACAGAGCAGCAGCCGAGTGAGCAGCACTGCACAGCCCCTGCCAGCTCCCTTACAGGTCTGCTCTGAAATCCCTGGCAGCAGCCCCGTGTCTGGCACTGTTTGGAGCAACAGCGTAGCTCCAACCAGCCCACAAAATCTGGGGTTTCAAACTGGCTGTCTATCAGAAATGCTGGATCCGGCGTTGTGCTCCAGGTGATTCACAAGGCACTTGATGCCAACACCCACGGAGGGGCTGGACCCTGACCCCCACATCATTTGTGATGCAAAATCCTTCTCTGAATGAAGGTAGATTTGAATAAACCTGGAAACCATCAAATCAGGGAATGGTTTGGGTTGGAAGAGATCTCAAAGCTCCTCCAGCTCCAACCCCTGCCACAGGCAGGGACCCCTTCCACTAGAGCACTTCCACTTGCTCCAAGCCCCTGTGTCCAACCTGCCCTTGAACACTGCCAGGGATGGGGCAGCCACAGCTTCTCTGGGCACCCTGTGCCAGCGCCTCAGCACCCTCACAGGGAAGAGCTTCTGCCTAAGAGCTCATCTCAGTCTCCCCTCGGGCAGGTTAAAGCCATTCCCCTTGGCCTGTCCCTACAGGCCCTTGTCCAAAGACCCTCGACTGCTGCTCCATCCAGCCTCCCCCAGCCTGTGTTTGTGCTGGGATTGCCCCGACCCAAGGGCAGGACCTTGCCCTTGGCCTTGTTGAACTCCAGCCTGTCCAGGCCCTTCTGGATCCCATCCCATCCCTCCAGCGTGTCAACTGCATTACACAGCCTGGTGTCATCAGCAAACTTCCTTCTGCATTGCTAAGTCCCACCGACAGCAATTACTTTCACACTGATAGCACGGGAGAAGCTTGAAATTGATAGATGCAGCCCCTGGAAAGCACAGCTTGATGCACTGTCTAATCATTGCCCTTGTAGAGCTCCCTGTCACTTCCAGCCGGGAGCTCTGTGCCTCATTTAAAGCCTCGGAGCAGCTTTGCTCCACACAGCACATCATTCCCACCCAAAGGGCACTCTTAGGACACAGTGAGGCACAGACACTGCTGATAAACTCCATTCAGAGTGACAAGTCCCACACCTGGGAGGTGAGGGAAGCAGCTCCCCAGGGCTGCAGCCCCCAGTCCTGGGGCAGGAGGGGGTCAGCATCCATCCCTGCATCCATCATTTGCAACACAGCCACGTGTCCTGAGCAAGCGGAGAGCAGGGGAACGAAGGAACCAAGCCTCCTCCCATGTGAAATGGGTGCTGGAGAGAGGATCTGGAGGGAAAAGCTGTAGGGATGGGGTCCTCCACCTTGATCGATGGGAGGCTCACCCTCGGCTTCAATGAGGTGCTGTTATTTCATGCAGCTCCCATCAGATTCCCCCAGAGGACTGAAGTTTGCTCTCCTTTCTTAATAATGTTCCTCACTGACTTCATTAGTGATTCCTGGGTTGTGCCAGACAAGACTTCAACCCGCTGCAAGGCCTGCTCCAGCTCAGACATCATTTCCCAAGGGGAAACAGTGAGAGATGGGTTATCCTAACAATGACTTTTTCATGTCGAATTAAACAAAACCTGGCCTCATTCTGAGCAATCGCTGCTTTTATTCTTTCTTCCTTTGCTTTTGTGCTTCCAAGTGTGGGAGCAAGGATGTCTAAAGGGGCTGTACGCTTTGCAGACCGTGTGTTAGAGGCCAGGGCTGATCCTGAGCCATAAAACCAGCACCGAGCACACAAGAGGTCTCTGTCCGGGGTAAACCCTCGAGGCACATTAAGGAATTAAGTTGAATTTGGTAAAGAAACAAGTTTTCTGTCACACAACAGCCTCGGAAGCACAAGGGGGTGAGTGGTTTGAATGGATACGTAAGGCTACAGGGGCTTGCTTCCTGTCATCACCACCCCACATCTGGTTAAAATCACATCGCAGAAGGGAAGGACACTCAAGACAAAGCTCAATGAAGGCCAATGTCACCACATGGATCATCCCTCCCTCTTCCTTTCTCAGTATCACAGCAGAAGATGCATGGAGGGGGGGGAAATGCACTATGTGAAACCAACCGTGGCTATGGACAAAAGGGAACCATTCCCTGGGGCCATAAAGCGTTGTTGGTTGGATAGGACCGTGAGCATCCATTCCAGCACTGCCAGAAAGAGCAGGATCAAACACAAACACATCTCCTGACCGAGGTCTCTAACAAAGAGCTAACACCGTGCTCAGGCACTGGAATAACCTGGCTGCCTCCCAGGACAAAGGGGACCAACGCAGCCATCTCTGCCTGCATCCTCCGGCAACACCCAAGGAGCAATAGAATGGGGAATAGGGAGAAGCAGCTCTCAAACAACTCATGCACAAGGCGAGGCTTTACGTTCTAGCCCCATTCATCCTTCCATTAGCCCTGATGCTTTAAGGATGCAAATGGTCCTTAATAAATAGCAGCAATTTCCCAAAGGCACAAGGCTCTCCACTGCATTACAGCGCTGTCATTCGATCAGCCCCTGGAAGCAATGTGCTTACCGGTGGATTTGATTTCCCTGACGTAGTTGCTTGGGAACCAGCCTGTTTTTCCATTCAAGGTCCCTTCCCACCAGCCCCCTTCTTCAACACGGGTGACATAAATAATGTCTCCTTTGTTAACGGAGAGCTCGTCCTCATTGGTCTGCTTAAAGTTGAACCTGGCCTTTACCACCAGCTGATGGCTGCCATTCTCGGTCATCTCCTAAGGAAAGAAACATGGGAAAACATCAGTAAGTAGTCCAAGAAAGCAGAAAGCACGAGGACGAGGCATTGTTCTGCTTTGTTGTGACAGCTGGGGTTCCAGTATTGCTCTTTAGGACAAGCAATAATGGCTTTCTGTTGTGTAAGCAGTCCTGCCAGAGGACCACAAGCATGGATTCAGCTTCACAGGGCAATGGAGAGCAGACAGGAATCGCTCGCCTCCTGTCACGCAGAGGAGCACTGTGGTTTGGAAGAAGCCACCATCCCCAACCAAGGCAGCGAAGCCGTGATGGAGATGAAGGGAGAACAAGCCTGGTGTGCTTGACCCAGGGGTACTACTCACCCCCCTCTACCCCGCCGCCATCAAACCCTTGGGAGATGTTAAAGAAAGGATACCACGGGCTTGGATTGCCTCCTTAGCACCCTCGCTGACTGGGAAGCTGCGCCGTTGGAGTCCGTGTGGGCACCTCCAGCCGCGGAGCTAAGAGAGGATAGATGTGAACATGGCCCCTTGGATGGCTGATCTGCTGGAGAGGAAAACAACAGCCGAGATTCAGCCAACTGTCCCCCATTCCTTCTACACCCCAGCAAAGCAAAGCCACACATCAAATCACGGGATTCCACTGAAATGCCCCTTAAAAAGCCTTTGGGCTTGGTCAGACTGGACAAGAGAAGGCTCCTGAAGGGGAGACCTGAGAGCAGCTCCAGTGCCTAAAGGGGCTGTGGGAAACCTGGAGAGCGGCTTGGGACAAGGGATGTAGGGACAGGCCAAGGGGAATGGCTTTAACCTGCCCGAGGGGAGACTGAGCTGAGCTCTTAGGCAGAAGCTCTTCCCTGGGAGGGTGCTGAGGCGCTGGCACAGGGTGCCCAGAGAAGCTGTGGCTGCCCCATCCCTGGCAGTGTTCAAGGCCAGGTTGGACACAGGGGTTTGGAGCAAGCTGCTCTAGTGGAAGGGGTCCCTGTCCGTGGCAGGGGTTGGAACTGGAGGAGCTTTAAGGTCCCTTCCAACCCAAACCATGCCATGATTCTATGTGAAAAGCGAATGGCAAATAAAAGCCCTGGGAATGAATAATTCTTAGACCTCAGGATTTGTCAGCCAGCTGCAGTATTTGGGGAAGTCCAACACTAGAATTAATCCATTAAATAATTCAGAGAGGAAACTGCAGGAAAAAAGAATACTTGGTCCAATGCTGCCCAATGGGGAAAGCTGCTGGGCCCTGAGCAAGCGCTGCTCGGGGAGGAATGCTGGACAGCCGGTCACACAATCACTCCTCTATTCAGATGAGTCCTTCTGGGTTCATTATACAGCTGAAAGAGGCTGGGCACCATCCTGATCCCTGCCCATGGCCTGCTGCCATCAGCCCTGTGAGAGAGGGATTCAGGCTGCACTGAGGAAGAAGAGCGGTGTAACCCCATGGAAGGGCTCAGAGCATCATCCGCAGCTCTTGGAGTTGTCTCTCTGACATACCCAAAGCTCCTCACTTTGCACACTGGGCTTGTTTCTCAGCCCCAGAACCCTGTTTAGATGCTGTGGAGCAGGAAACACCTGGGATTCCAGGCACCCAGTAATTCCCAGTGCTTCTCTGCTACTGTACCTCCCGCCACCCTGTGGGGCAATGCTCCTTCCTATGTGTCATGGTCCACAAATGAAGCAACAGCAGATACCATCATCCTGGTAAGCTGGGAACAACTGTTGAGATTTGCCTTGCAGCTTCTTTGTAGATTTAAGAGCATTCCCTTATTCCAGAGCTGCCGTTTTCCACCTGCACTGTGGACCTGGTATTGCCATGGGCCTCCAAAGGGGACCAGAGAGGAATGGTCCGCGGGCATTGCTGTGCTGCCTGTGCAAGTCCCCACATAACGTTTGGAGTTCTCCACTGGAAATGTTGCAAGAGGAGAGGGTGAATCCAGCCCCAAAGTGTGCTCAGGAACCAGCAAACACAAGCTCTAAAGCTGCTGTTCCCCCATTCTCCTCCAGCCTGAACATCAACATGGAAAAACCATTCCAGAGGGGAAGTCTGGTGGGAGTTACAGGAACTCAGCCGGGCTTTGATTCTTCCCAGAGGATTCTTGTCTCAATAGGAAAACACTTCATCCCTGATTGGACCTGGAGCAATACAAACTGCAAGCTCCAGGAGCACGGATGTGCTTTGTCCTTCCCCAGTGCCTTGCCCAATGGGGATCATGTCCATGACTACGACTTCCAAACCCTCATCCCTCCCATACCCACGCACCAGTCTGCCCAGTCCCTGCTCCAGCAACAGACAACGTTCCCAGTATGTGCTGTCAGTGAGTCAGTTTTCTGCTCATTACACAACTGCTTGACAACCACACAGCGAATTCCCAGCTCCCTGCGCTGCAGCAACAGCAAAACAGCTCCGCATGGAAAACCCACTTTAAAAACACAGACTCTGTGTGTGTGGGGGGGGGTTATTTCTCTGGAGCATCCTGAGATTGGAGCAGCAGTGATTTCGGCTGCTCCCAGTGACTCCCAGGCCAGGAGGGGTGGACGGCTGCCAGCCTGAGATGTTCTTCCCCTGATTCCATCTGAAAAGGGAGGATGTGACCCAAGAGTCTGGACTTACTCAAGCCATCAGCCCCAGTCCCACGGGAACGACTCGGTTACTGTAGGTTTTGATGCTTCTCCCTGCCCCTCCCAAGCTTCCACAAGGCTTTATAAATATCTTGCAGCAACCTAGAAACAAATGTAAAACTGACTTCGACAGTTTGGCAGGGAAACGTATCATTTATATGGCATCATGACAGCGTCCTATTTTACGCCTGGTCCAGCATGGAACGCTGCTGCCATATGTTGCTTAAACTATGGTTAAAATAGCTGGGGTTTCTGCTCACATTCCTACGCTATTTTTGGCAGATGAGCCTCGTCTGATCCAGCACAGCTGGTTTTCCTCCCCTGCCCTCACTGTCAGATAAAAGCATCAGCTCCGTATTGCTGCTATGTGGTGGGCAGCTGCTGAACGCTGAGTTTATCCCCTCCGGTTGGTTGCATAACAAGATCCACGAAGGCACAAGGATCTGGACTTCAAATGGATGCTCAGAAACACATTCCCACGGTGTTTCCTTGTCACCTCCTTCCCTCGGCCTCCGACAAGGGGGCTGGGATGCAGCAGCTCTGCAGGCGGCGGGATGCGCTGGCCGTAGCAGGGTACCACGCTTGTCCTGATGCTCCATTCATCCTCTGGTGGGACAGGCAAACCGGGCTCTCTGCAGTGGTGGCCTGCAGCACACAGGCTCCTGCTTCTCAAGGAACTTGGCCAAGCCACCAAGAAGCAACTGTTTGAGACATGTATTTATTTTACCCTGTACTTTTCCCAAGGGTGCTCTCTGCCTGAGCAGCTAATTATGGCGCAGGCATTGCGCTTTTTAACATCTCGACAGGGGAAGCATATGTTCAAACAGATGTTTGCCATGAAACCCAAGGATCATCCCAGCTTCCCTACGGCTCCGTCGCTAACGGGTGATAGAAACTACTCCCCAGCAAAGCTGCATCCCGAGCCTTGTGCAGTGATTGCAGGGGTGAGCTGGCACACGGGTGGCTGCCAGAACAGAGCTGGAAATAAGGGGAAGGTTGCGACAACGGCCCCACACACACCCCATCACAGCCCAGCAACAGGCGAGCACAGAGGCAGGGAAGTTTCTCCCTCTTTGCTTTCAGAGCAATGAAGCTCGTGTCAAATCCCAATGACAGCGTTTGCAGAGGCTGCTCCTGCTCTAGGTAACCTGCGTGTTACACACCCTGAGCTTTCTACATGGGCACACGGGGTGCTGCCATTCAGCAGAGCAGGCAGAGGCTGGGAGGAGATGTGCTGGGACTGAATCACGGGTCACTGACTTCCAGAGAGAAATGGAGGCTGAGCTGAGTGCTGGCTGCAGAAGGACAGCCTAAGAACTTGAATTGCTTCACAGCAGCATTATATGCACATACACACACACATATATACCATTATACACCATATATATATATTCAGAGAATCAGAGAATCCCAGATTGGTTTGTGTTGGAATGGACCTTAAAGCTCATCCAGTCCCAACCCCTGCCATAGGCAGGGACACCTTCCACTAGAGCATGTTGCTCATAGCTCCATCCAACCTGGCCTGAAACAACCGAGAAACCCATCACAGACCACAGCCAGGCAAAAATGCAGTAAACCAACAGGAAAAAACCCTCCCATTAAAGGAAAACAGTGGGGTTTGTGTTTGAATTTCCCCCCTTTCAATAGGCTACAGTGCAACGTGCAGCAGGGAAACAGAACTGCTGCTGCTGCACTTTGGTGGGTGACCAGGACTCTGCAAGTCCACTTGTATGACCAGGGGCCACAAACACCTTCCACCCTGCAAACCTTTCCCAACCCCATGCAGCCCTGCTCCCCATGCCCTCAGGAAAGAGACCCTGGTCCTCTCACCCCTCCCCAGAGCACTGCACTGCCATCATCCTCCCTGTTGAACCTCTCCTTTCACAGCCTATGGGACTGAGTATCAGTTTAAAGCAGCCTGAAGGGATGAGCTCCATCTTTGGGATGGAAACCACAGGAGCTGATCTGCTTGGCTTCAACAGCACATAGAGAGGCAGGACAAGCCATGAGCTTGATTCCCAAATCCAGGAGCCTACTCCATGGACCAAGGGAGAGAGAAACATCAATACAACTGACAGAGCACCACGTCTGCTTGGGCATTCAGTAAGGACATGGGGCAGATGGACCTGTTTTTCTCTTTGGCTTGAAAACGCACTATTCAAACCCTGCTATTTGCATTTTGGGAGGTGCATGCTCATTTACATCGTGGCTCCTTTACAGTGACCTACTTTGAGGTCCCTTCATGCCATCAAAAGTGAGCAGAGGTCCCTTTGTGGAAAGCAATGATCTAAGCCAGCAAAGCGCACGCAGCCACACTTAAACCTGGGGTTGGTAGAAGCATGAAGTACCAATCCCACCATCCAGCATCAGCCCAAGCCTCCAGAAACCATCACAAACCGGGAAGTACCAAACAAACACCCCCCATGCCGGCATTTGTAGGAGAGGAACTGAAAAGACAACAGAAAAACCTCCTTGTTTCTTACCTTCAGTAGCTTTGCTTAGAGCTGTTAACGTGCTCAGGACCTTGATGAACTGCTCTCCGGTGTACAAATCATATGGATCAAACACCTGCCAAAGAGGAACTTGGTCAGTTGAGCCCAAAACACCCCACTGGGGCTGTGTGAGGGTATTGGTAAGGACTGAGAAGCCCTTCTGCCTGCAGGGAAGGGGTTTATTCGGGGCTGACAACATCCCTTTACAGTGAAGGAATTCCTGGGGCAGGGCAGGGGGACCTGGCAGCATTCCCATCACAACATCAGGGACAAGGGGAGGAAGGAATCAGTGCTGGCTGCAGAGCAGGGACTTGCAGAGCATCACGGGGAAGGTTATTGCTTGCCTTGAGGGGAGGAAAGATTTTGCTGCTATTTTTTGCTACCGAAAGCTGAAGAGATGGAGGCTGTACATAGACAGAGATATACACACACACTGTCAGCAGCAGAAGACACAAACACACAGTTTGCTGCTGCTGCAATATGGCACATATAATGCATATACACGCTTTGACAGGAAGACAAAAGCAGTTATTTTATGGGCAAAACTTCCACTCTAAGGAATTCTGCATTCCCAAGCCTCAAACAGACACACACAATTAGCAAGGGCTTATTTCCTGCGACTGGTGACTGGACCTTGCGCACCCAGACCTTCAGAACTCATTCCCAGCACAAAGAGGGGCAATTTGAGCTTCCAACCCCTCCTAACACCTGAGAAACCCCCTCAACCGACTGCACAAATCCTACCCTTAAGGAAGCAAAGAGAAGCGATACAAGTTGTTCCTGATACAAAAAGCTCCCGTTATCGGTATGACCGAGGCACCATCTGCTACCCCCCATACACACATTGTCTTGCAGATGGAGACCACAGATCCAAAGAACAGCGAGGCTGGTTTGAAAGCTCTCCTGGCAGACACCATCCACTTACAAACACTTCCAACACGCACGAGTATGTCCTGCTAAGTAAGTACACGAGGCTTTAAGTACCTCGAGGGTAGCACTGCCCTTTAGAACAGCCCTTTCTTCCTTTCCGCACTGAGCTCCTTGAGCCCACTTGGCATCTCTCCATTAGGAAGGGGCCTGGCCTCTTCCGCAGAGCTGGATGCTCGCAGCATCTCTTGCTCTCGACAGACACAGTGCAGCAATAAAGTCCCACGAGGGCAGCACAGAATGGTAAGAATCTATCTACAAACTGACTCAGCCACTGGGAGAAAGGCTTTATAGAAACAGAGGGGGACAGCCTGCTGTCGTTAGAGATATTAAAGTCAGTAGCTCCACATCTACCGCTCCGTACATCCCCACCTACCTTGGGCTGTCTCCGAGCTGATCTATTGCCCTCACTCACTTGGCTGTGCTCCTGTGGACCACACAGACCGCATCCCCCGTGCCAGCTGGTGCATGAACTAGTTCTGTGCCCTGCAAGCGCCGGCAGCGCTATCAGAGCATCGCCTCCAGCCCTCGCCGGTGTCTGCGTGCACACGGAGATGGTAATGGAGAGCCCGGGTGTGCGCTGACCCTGTTGGCAGCCGCCGGAGGATGCAACGTTACAGCAGGAGGAATGTCTGTGTGCAGCTCTCTTCTGTGTCATTCCCTATCAGAGCCCTTCTTTTCCCCACTTAGGAAAGTCCAGAAAAACAAGTCCTGCCTTGAATGAACTGCATCTTCTTTCATTAAAGTAGCACAAAACAGCCCTGATGCTTCCGAGCACAGAATAATGCTGCAAGCTCAGAGTCTGGCAAAGTCCAGAGGAAAATGGTGGTGGGAAGGAAATTATAGCATCAAACCTAGCAATAACTGTAAGGACTTTCCTTCATGAAGAAATTCTCTGGAGTAGCTACCGTGGAGCAGCAGCTATATGGAAAACTCTGCTGGATCAGCTACTGTAGTGAATACACTCTGCAGCTTGTTCCAGAATAAATTAATCATACAGAAAAGTCCTCATTTATGAGCTAAAAATTATTTTTTCCAGCACAATCCATCCGTAATTCCATTCCTAACTGTCAGACAAGCTGTGGGGCTGGAAGAAAAATAGAAAGGGAAAAGGTTTTTTGCTTTTAGCTAATGGAAGATCACAGAATCCCAGTCTGATTTGGAAGGGACCTCAAAGCTCCTCCAGCTCCAACCCCTGCCACGGGCAGGGACCCCTTCCACTGGAGCAGCTTGCTCCAAGCCCCTGTGTCCAACCTGCCCTTGAACACTGCCAGGGATGGGGCAGCCACAGCTTCTCTGGGCACCCTGTGCCAGTGCCTCAGCACCCTCACAGGGAAGAGCTTCTGCCTAAGAGCTCATCTCAGTCTCCCCTCGGGCAGGTTAAAGCCATTCCCCTTGGCCTGTCCCTCCATCCCTTGTCCCAAGCCCCTCTCCAGCTTTCCTGCAGCCCCTTCAGGCACTGGAGCTGCTCTCAGGTCTCCCCTTCAGGAGCCTTCTCTTCTCCAGGCTGACCCAGCCCAGCTCTCTCAGCCTGGCTCCAGAGCAGAGCTGCTCCAGCCCTCACAGCATCTCTGTGGATGTAAGCAAAACCCCTCTTAGATCTAGGCTGTCATCTGAGCATCTCTATTAAATCGCTCTCCCGACTTCCAGAGTCACAGACCGCAGCTCCGGCTGCTCCATCAGGCATCACACCGGCAGAGGGAAACCTGCGCTGCCGCACTGCCAGGCCTCCCAAAAGCACCGAGGAGGCGAGGAAGCGCCGGGCAGTGACAAGAAGAGCTCGAAAAATCCCCCCCGCAGCTGCACCTAGCAAGCTACCAGCACCCAAACGTCCAGGACCGGGTTGGGAGATGCAAAAGTGCCGGGAAGCCGGGCTGTGCTTCGAGCCCGAGCGCACCGCAAACCCAGCAAAGCCCCAAACCCGAGGGCTGGGACCGGACCGCCCCGCTCCGCTGCCGGGGATAACCGGGGGCTCCCCGGCGGGACAGACACCGGCAGCAGCCGGGAGCGCCCTGCGCACCGCCGGGCCCCTCGGCTCCGCTGCCCGCAGCAAGGATCCGCGCTCCGGTTACCCCAGCGGGGACACCGCGGTGCGAGGACACCCGTGGGGGGATGCCCGAGGGGGGACAAGGGGATGCCCGGCGCGGGTGCCGGTGCCCGCAGCGCGGTCGGTACTCACGGCAGCGGGCGGGCGGGCGCGCAGCCCCGGGGCATGGCGGCGGCGGTCGGGGCTGCGGGCGGCCGCTGCGGCTCTGACCCGGAGCCGGATCGCGGCGCGGGGAAGGGAAGGGAAGGGGAAGGGGAAGGGGAAGTGACAGGCGGCGCCGCCGCCCCGCTCCGCCCCGCCGCTCGCTGCGGGACCCGTGCGGCCGTGAGACCGCAGCTCCCTCCGCCGGCCGCGGACGGCAAAGGGAAAGGGAGGTGGGAAAAGGGGGAAGAGAAAGGCATGGGGAAGGGAAAAGGGAAACGGGAAAAGGGAAGGGAAGGGGGAAAAGTGAGTTAGGAAAGAGGGGTAAGAGGAAAGGAAAACAGGAAAGGAGGAAAGGATAGCGAAAAACAGGAAAAGGAAGAAAGGAAAAAGAGGAAACAGAGGAAAAGGGAAAGGAGAAAAGGAGCAAGAAAAAGGACAGGAAAAATGAGGGAGGGATAGGATAAGAAAGGAAACCCCAGGCTATTGAAATGATCACTACAGCAGGTTTGCACCACCAAGAAGAGAAATGCTGCAGAAGGGCCTGTAGAGGAGGTGCGGTTCCATTGAGGATTCTCAGAGACAGCACGTCCCGAGCACAGCACCAGTGCTGTGTGTGCCCATCTGGAAAGGGAAGGATGTGCTGTACTGAGCCGGGGGGAGCCCAGCTGTGGGTCCCAAACCCATGCAGGGACCTTGGGATGTCAGAAGACATCACACACCCTGTGAGCAGGAGGGGACTGGGACACGGGGTCCTTCTGAATCCAGACATACCCATCCCCAGCGCTCGTGCTGGGCAGCTCTGCCTTTTGATGTTAACCAGCTTAGGAAGGTAACGCTGCTTGGGAGCAAAACCAAAGCAGAGCAGGCTTTGGGAGCACAAGGGGGTGATGGTTCTTCATCTGCTCTTCCACTCCTTTGAGGTACAAACAGTTTGGTGAAGGCTGAAAACACCTCCAGCTGCAGAAATAGCTTCGGTTGTGCCCGCAATGGCAGTGCCATGCTGCGTGCTCTGTGTGGTTTAATCCAGCTATTGATTCCTCTTGCAGATACATTCTTGGTTCAACACAGATGCCAGCCCCTTGCTAGCAGTTTTGTGGTCATATTGGCAATAAAACGCTGCTGAATGAAGGTCTTGTCCTTCCTCAGCAGTAAATGATGCTTAGGTATTGACCTGCTGTTACTGTGTCAACAGCTAAAGCCAAGAACAATTCCCATTTTGCCCTCACAAACAAGCAGGACCAGGTGTTTCCTACCCAATTTGTCCCTTTCTTCATCATCTTTCCCCTCTATCTGCTACACTAGACTGCACAAACCATCAGGTTCTGTCCTGCTTGCATCCAGCTTAGCAGTGCTCACTCGCTGGACCAGACCTTGGGCTCACAGCCACAGCTCAGAGGTTAAAGCCACTGTTTCTCAGTCCAAACCACTAAGGACTCTTAAGCTCCAAAGAGGTGCCCACATCCTCTGTCTCAGCAGTGTTGGGCTGATGGATGCTCTCATGACTTGAACCAAATGCCAGACTGAAAAGCAGTTGAAGAGTTTTAGACACAGCCTCATTGTTTCAGCTCATCGCAGCACTTGCCTAGTACACAGGAGGTGTCAGCTTCTCCGCATGCTTTCTGTTCTAGGACTGACACATTTGAAGCAGCACATGGTTGCAGGCTTCAGTCCTGGGCTGAAGCTAAGGGAGACTTTGGTTATTTATAGCCAACAATGAGACGGATGACTCCAGCTCACACCACAGGCCTGCAGAGCTGCGGCAGCTTAATGGAGCCACCTCAAAGGAATGTCACTGAGTGTTCTTCTCCTTTCCTTCCGCTATGTCCAAATGTTTCCCTGCTCCTGTAAGGCAGGAGAAGGTGCCGTTTGTCTCGATGTGCTTTTCTTCCTAAGATTGGGTTACCAGGACAACAAAGAAGGGTAGGTGGGAAGCACATATGTGTGCCTCTGCAGGAGTAACCTCTTTGCATGCCCCCCCATTGGAAGAGATTGGCAAGCAGTTACCTGTTTGGGTTTCAACCCAAAGCTGTTGGAAACCCTACCTTCCACGCTGCTCCCCTGCCCTGCATGCTAGCAATGCCCACTGAAGTGATGGGTTCCAGATGGCAGCTGTACAAACATCTACGACAAAACCAAGTTTAAGGCACGGTGCGATGCTTTGGCAAAGTACAGTGAGGCCACACGATGCCAGGATGGGATGCCAATGGCATAGAAGATGTTTTTCATGCTTGAGATTCCCCAGGATGAGGCCCTTTTGTACAAGTAGAAGTTGTGAGCTCTGATTCCCCCAGAACATCCTCTTTCGCTCACATCTGCAACAGGAACAGGATCTTTGACCTTAACATGCATTTGTCAGTCTGAAGACAGAAGTGGCTCAGATCCAGTCCCAGGCTACTTCTTCATATCTAAGGAACAAGAGTTCTCTGTGGAGAAGGGCAGAATTTGACCAAACCATGAGGTTTTTATTGTCAAATCCAGGGTGTGGGCCAGGGCATTTAAACCCATTAAACCAAGAGCTTTCCTGATGTTACTCTTTCCTCAGGATGGGATAATGGAGCAGCACAGATTTTCTATCCTATGCTCATCTTCCTTAGACATAATACCCCATCACTGCAGCTTCAGGGTGGATAGATCTTGGAACCAGAAGTCTCCTTGCCAGTGAGATCCAAACAGGGCAGCTTTCAGAAGGAACAGAGGGTTTCCATGTCTGCCCTGGCTTTGCCTTCAGAGAGCACTTAGACAAGCTGGCAATATGGGAAGAGCCAGAGGGAAGCCAAAGCACTCTGCCTTGGGCCATGTCTTGCCCACCATCTCAGCTGCCCTACCTCTAGTGTTCCTCTGCCTGGAGTTCCTGAGGGAGAAGCAAAGTTCCTGTGTTCTAATGTGACTTCATATTTGGGGGGAAAAAAAAGAACAAGAAAACATATTCATTTCACTGCAAAATTTAAGCTTGAGAGATGTGAGCTTTTGTTCAGCTTTTGAGGTCTCCTTTCAGAGTGCAGGGCGGCCACATGAGCACTGGGGGAGTTCCTGAAGGATCAGAATACTTCAAAGATAAAAGGGGTTATAAATCAGAAGGAAAAAGAAGTCAGAAGCCTTTTCTGAAGTGTAAACCAAGGAAGAAAAAGCACAGGGAGGATCAGAGCAACACCAAGAGCTGGACACAGAATGATGCTGGTTCTTGGTACCTGTAAATTGTGGAGTGTGGCTGCAATAGTGCAGAACTGGCTTTTAAAACTACGAGATGCTAAAGCACAACGGTTGAGGGCTATTCCCTCGTCCTGATTTTGAGCTCTTTAAGGGTCCTGGGTTTTTTGCTGTTTTCCACTACAAGCATTATGATCGGTTTTCAAACACAAAAATAAACCCTCTCAAAGCAGAGGAAATCACACGGCCAGCACCAGAAGACTGGCAACAACTGATTTCTGATGTGGCAGGCCTTCGGTGAGTCTATATTTATCTGTTCTTCAAGCTGCTGCAGCAGCAAGGCTTGGAGAGATGCATTTACTGGGAAACAATGGACTGGTGAAGCAGCTCTGCAACGAGCGTGTATTCATGCTGGGTTGCTCTAAGGTGCTGAAGAAAGGCTTTTTGCTTGCTTAGACCTACCAAAGGAAAAGTGCAAGTAACAGAGCTACCACGGGTTGGATGCTTCTTACCACAGTGCCTGAATAGTCTGTATAATGCCCAAGGATTCTGTCCCTGCTTCTGGCAGGTATTTTGCTTCCAGTGTTGGGCACATTTCAAAGGAGACAGTGACAGACAGCTCTTAGTTACAAGTTTCTTGTAGGCATTTAAGTGTGACACAGAAGTCTTTGCATTCTAAATCCATACGCACTTAGTAAAAGATCTGATGGCAAAAGGAGCTGACCTCTGAGGTCATTTAGACTCTGATCGTGCAAATACAAGCTATGCTTAAGCATGAGAATCAGTATTTAGATAGACCAGTAACAGCCACTGAAAAGGTGTCTTTTGACTTCATTAGGGTGATTTTTATGTACAAGGATCAATGTACAATGATGTGTTTGGCAGTTTCCCACACAACGGTTGCAAGGAGATGAAAATACTTCACTATTGAGAGTATTTTCTATCAGAGCAAGGCTAAACCCTGCAATCCCTTCTCTCCAACACTGAAAAACAACGTAAACAGGTCCACAGTTCAACTCTATTTTGACAGACCTCCTTTTATTGCTGCATGTATTCCTGCCTGACCACTTCGGCTTGTCTCAAAAGACGAGAAGGAATCTGTTAAGCTCACAGTCAATGCACTCTGTTTCCACATTCTCCAGACAGAATGTTAAGTTACCCATGCTCTGATTGCTGTCACTCATACAAAAGATGAGGAACGACACCGATTTCATCCCTCTGGTATCCGGCTTGTTTCCAAAGGCTGATGGAACAAGCACTTTATGACACTAAAAGCAAGGAGCCAAGCTGACTTACCTCCACTTTAAGAAGCGCACAGCCTTTCAGGAACTCTTGAATATTACTGATGCAATCGGCTTCATTTTTAGGCTCCAGGCAGTGCTAAAGAAAGAGAATCCACTGAGCTCATTGCATTACCTCCTATCTAGGCTCTATTCAGGGGGCTCTGCATGAATATTGACATGTGCAGTTTATACTGAATTAGGGAAGCTTCTGGAGGGGGCGGCTGGGGGAGGCAGGCAAGCTGTCGAAGCAGGAAGAGCCAGCCACTGGAGGAAGTGATGCACACATCGAGATGGTCGGCATCTTGTGTTGAATGTCAGCAGATGCCAGTGCCCCAAGCGGCAGTGGGAAACGGGTGACCTTTAAGAACACACTGCACCCCAAGCATCACATATGAGCACAATCGGGAGCTCCCAGTCAGCAAAACTGATTTGTGCACAAGAAATAAAGGCTCCTGTCCTACAGGGTGGAGAAGCTGGTGTTTTCTTTCTTTTTAATTAAACAGCATTCTCCTCTGTGTTGCCATTTCCTATCTCTCATTGGACTCCTTCCCTTTTTGCTCCTCTTGCAGCAGCTTACCACGCTCTTGGCTGGTCTGAATATATCCCCTGTAAAACTACAGCAGGAGCTTATATAGCTTCAGTACCAATGGATTTGCATGGATGCAAGGTTTGTGTTTTATTCCTGACTAACAAAGTGTTTTACACTAAGAGCTCTGAAAGAGTGAATACATTTACAGTTGTAGCTAATGGCATTTACGTAAATACAGACAAACTGCATCTCCTTCTATTCAAAACCAAGCTATTTTGATCTCTGGTAGGCCCGGTATTTCCTGCCACTGGATGAACATGTGTAACTTAGCCAACTGCAAACTTCTGGTGGTTTTTCCTGCCTGTAGAGACGAAATCAAAGGACTAAAGCTACAATTGCACCGTCCCCTCAATTAGGTGCCAGTAAGTGAGGTGTAAACCATGTCGCTGATACTCCTTGCTCACCTTACCAAAGCAAAGCACAAAGCAGGGCAGGATTTTACTGTTTCAAGCTCCCAGAAATGCATCGTGAGAGAGCAGTTACCTTTTCAGCAGATCCCGGAAGCAGTCGATTGATGAGTTTACAAAGCACAGTTCCATCTTTGAGAGCAGCTTTCAGGAACTCTTCGGGATCATCTACTGTTTTCTTCGGGGAATTTAACACTCCTAAGGAAATCAGCCACGTTACAGTTTGTTCTTCTGGATTCATCCTGGAGCGCTGTGCCGCCAGCGCAGTTCTCCTGTGCAGCAGCTTGCTGGAACCCACATCCGTGATTACATCTTCCTGCCTCTGCTGCTGCTTGCACAGCTCCAGGGTGAAACTACCTTTTTTTTTTTGCTCAGCACAGAAATTCACCAAAGCTTAAGAACCAGAAGTACTCTTCCTGGGAGGTAACAAACTTGTTCTCGAAGCAAGAGCTTCTAGCGCTCTGTTAAAGACAGTCAACCACACAGTTCCAACATCACTAGAAATAGAAGTGGTTTATGTGGATTCTGGTTCCACCAAAAGCATCACAGAATGGTTTGGGTTGGAATGGACCTTAATAGCATCTAGTTCCAACATACCTAATGACTTTCTCCTTCTGGTAGCCTGGCAAATGTGGCCTTTACTTATAGCTATTGTCCCAAGAAACAAATTTGTCTTTACTACTGTAAATAGAGGTATTTACAGCTTTAAAACGGAACTTCACACTAAAGAGGATTGGGAGCAGCATTACACTGACTTTAAATCAGCCTTTTTTGACTTCATGGGGCAAACCTAGTTATTAAAATTGCCTTTTAAGAGTTGTTTTCAAGATCTGAATTTTGAAAATGAATTCTGATCATGCACTGTATGCAGAAAAAATAATGGGGTTTTCAATTGCTTTATGTAAGTGCACATTTAATCCAAATTGGGGCTCGGGAGATGCTACATCTCTCAAACATCTGGATAACTTAGGAAAGTTCATAAAATTAAGTCCTCCAAAGCTGAGCATTAAGCTTCCCAACTATTTCACTCATCCTGTTAAAATGTCCCTTTCCACCAGCAAGTCAGGATCCACTGGAATTAATCAGTTTCACCTGCTCTGGTGTATTAACCATTACTAGTGATCAGATTAACTTGAAGAAATCCAGTTGTCCTGACACCTTAACTGTCCTTTCACCGGAAGAGATGGAAAGTGAAGTCATTCTCCATTTATGATGCTAAAGAAGTTGGAGCAGCATGGATTGAAGCAATACCATAGGAACAAATATCCTAGAGACCAGCACTGCACAGTGACAACGTTCTCAGCCAATTCTTAATCCTGTTACTTGAAGCAACTGTTTTGAAGACATCGGTGGTCTCAAACTGCTTAGGGTTAGTGATTTAAAGGGTAGGAATAGAACAGCAGAAGGATAAATTACATACAGTAAACATGCTTGGGTTTGCATCTCCACTTTCCAGGTCTTATGCCTGCTCCTGGGACCTACTTTTAGCAGCCACCAGTAAGAAAACAGAATTGCTCTTTTAGGGTTAGACACATTTTGACCTTTGTGAGGACAGGCTGAGTTCCATTTCTCTGCTCTAAGGACATGGTAGTAACATATAGCTGCAGACAGTGGGAACAGTAAAGCCAACTGAAGCTCCATCGAACTCATTGCTATCTGGTGAAGTGCATCTACAACTATCCATATGTGCCAAACACTGCAGATTTATGACTGATTACAAGAACTTGAGGGGGTTTTCTCCTTTCTCCAGTTCTCATGAGCACTATTTTGCAGAAGTGAGACTTGCACTCTCCACTTTCAAAGCTTGCATTTTCTGGAGTAGCCAAAGACAACTAAGGCTCAATGACCTACAGGGGACAGTCACTGGTACATGGAGACACCCACTTCTGTCACCTCATCAGAACGTACCAGTTTCTGATGTAAAGAGCAAACTCAGGGCTACAAACTTGAACACAGAAGAGTACTTGACCCTCCTCTAAACCAAACCTCGTTTTGCGTAGGCAGGTTTAGTTTCATGACTAGTTCATGTTTCAGCTGAGCAGATGTTATTGGTTGCATGTACCAGTAAATGAAAATGCTTCCCACATCTTGAACTTACCAACTGCTTGAAAGGCCTGCAGACATTATTCACAAAGGCATTTCTCATTAGCCAGCTCAAGGCAAACCTTACATCTTTCAGAAAGGACCCATTTAAAAATGTTCCAACTTGTTCACCCACCCCTACACTAGAATTACTCCAGAGATGAAGGTATAGCTGCCAAGCAGGAAGTTTCTACTCTGGTCTTTGGAGAAGACCTCAACTTTGGTTTATTGCTGATGGGGACAAATCAAATGAGTTGTCAGTCAACCTTCACCCCCTAGTTACAAATACACTTTTCTTTGCAGCCCAATTTACACCAGGGATGACTATATAGGATAACAGTACTTAAAAACTAAACAAAGGGAGGTGGTCTATACCCAGTTATCAAAGGACTGATACATCAGTAAGAGGATGGCCACAGGAGCAAGAACAGCATTCAGATGCTCAGAAAACATCCTATTCTCCTCTAAGTCACTTGCTCTTTTTTTCAGCACAGAGGGAAAACAACCAACACAAAGAGCAACAGTGGAGTATTATTCTGCTGCATTTTACTGATGCCTCACATTTAAACAAGTGACTTTCAATGATCAAGTTTGAGGCAGTGCATGAGCCAGTTCACACTGGTGGTACATTCTCATTACTTAGCATTTCAGGCAGATACCAATCTTAGTTTGTATGACAGCTCAGATGCTGGCTTTACCTTTCAGTTGGGATGATCTGGTTCAGCCTGAACAGCAGTAACCCTGGAAGCTACTGCTGAAAAAGCAGTTTCTTAGTATCCCAGCACATTATTCTTTCCTGCAGCAAATATACTCTCCAAGACCACTTTGTAGCCCTACACCTCCATCGGTATGTAACACCAGTCATATTTTCCACCATGCAAATGGCACTGAGTAATGGCTATTTTCTTTCAAATTAAAAGAAAGAAACCCCCGTTTCCCCCCCAGACAAAACCAAACCCACAGTTTCGTTAACAGTACCTTTATTAGTCCTGGGAAATACTGCAATTCTACCCATCTGCTACATACACATACACTTACTCCTACAATCTGCAGTCCACAACTGATGGTTGAAGTGATACTCCAATACCCACAGGCAGTTTTAAACCCCTTAACATATGCATGCTTTAACTACGCATTATAAACTGAGTGTTAGTGGTTTAAATGAGATCAGTTTATGTCTCTCACAGTATAAATTTTATCAGCCATGACTGTTAAGTACTTCAATCAATGTGAAGTTAAGTTTTCTACATGGAATAGCAGTGCCTGAGGATTCCTCTCACATCCACTGGCACATGAACACGTATGTAAGATAAAAATGCATCAAAACCAAGGGCAACTTTTGAAGACAGCATCTTGTGAGAGATGCAGTGCTGTCTGGAGGGTTGCAAGAAGCCAGTACATGCAAGAACACACAATATTCTGGGGATTTATCACTAATATCGTCTCAGTACATCAACACTTCTCTCATTGAGAAGGCCTGGAAAACTACATGTAACGATATAATAAAACTTCTTATGGTTTCTTGGTGAAGAATTTGTAACAACTTAGTCCTCTGCCTTTCAGAGGACTAAACCTCCCTTTTATGTAACTTGCTTTCTCCCCCCCCACCGTAAACAGATATCACCCCACATAAAGGGCAACCTCAGAGCATTTTTCTGCTGCAGGATCTACTGAAGCACATCTACTGACTGCTGCTGGCAGGCAGCAAATGACCTCCACCTGATGTTTTTATATCCAAGAAATTAGTAGTGCTACTTTCAAAGGCAACTCTGAATGGTAACACAGCCCACTAAAACAAACAGTGGGGAACACCATACTCAAAAGCCAAGCTTTCACAGTTGTGTTTTGTTATCCTTCCATTTTTCACTGCATACCCACTGCTGCACTGCCTTCTTCTGGTCACTGTAACTGAAAAAGGAAATGCAAGTTAGTACACTCTCAGAAACCAGGAGACAAAACAGTTAAATGATCTTCCTGATGATTGTCTTTATACACACAATGCGTGCATTTGGATGGTATTCAACCTGTGCCAAGAGTATGACAATGTATCAGTAGCTAACTACAACGATCAAATTGGTCTGAGCACTGCTTGTATTAATGCACACTTCTTGTACAGCATTGTCTCCAGAGCATGTACTAAGTAAAGCCCCTGTAATATCTGTGTGTATTTCCCCTACAAACTGCCTGCCACAAAATCCCACTAGCTCTTGACCATCTCAGCGTGCTACTCAGGAGTCCTGTAATGAACTGACATGCACACTGGTATCAACCTGTAAGTACCCACGTGCTATAAACCTGTAATCAAGAGAAGCTGAACAGCTTGCTGAATCTGTAGAATTACATGCTTACATTTTACAAAGTCAGTATTACCTTCCTGCCATGAGTTAAGCTCTATTTATTGCCCCCTAAACTAACTCTGGCACCATGCCTGTTATAAATTTGGAACTATTTCTAAGGTGCAGAGTAGGCTGGAAAAGTGTGCTTTGGTGTTCATTTCTTTATTAATTACAACATGGCCACTACCACCAGGAACTGAGAAAAAGGATCCAGTGAACTGAGAAAAAAAGGCTCCCTTTTCCAAAAGAGAGCAGCTTTGTCACTTGCCAACAGTAACCGACTTTAACCCACCCGGATAATACAGAGAACTGAAGCACACACATACAAATAAAAGCTGACAACCTTCTAACACAACCTAGATGATGATTTGGCATACACTTTGAAAGTCACCTAGGATATATTCCATCCCTTCCTTAAAGGATTCCTGATTTGGATCAGCCTCAAACCATACATTTAATAATGGACTCCTGCTATTTTTTTGTGCAGGCTGGTGTGGGAGCAGAGGAGAAGAGCTTCCTATAACAGAAGTACTCCTGACGCTTCTGTATTTGATCTGAAATACAATCTAGCATGCTGAAGTAAAGCATCTCTTTCTTCCTTATCAAGGTAACAGCAGCAATTTATCAGGAGTATGTCAGAATAGACCATTAATGAAGGCACTGCACAGCAACTTAGTTGCTGAGACTCTAAAAACAATAAGCTGTAAGCCAACTGAGGCTGCAGACATTGCACTGTCTGCACCAGAAGCATCCTTCATACAAGATGGCAATACCCTGCAAACAGTGACCACGTGTCAGATGCAGAACAGCCTCAACTACAGCTTTTTTTCACCACTTCTAAGTTGGTTCTCAAAAGCAGTATTTAAAACCAACAGAAAGTACATTCCTCCACTTACAGAGTACTTCGAAAACTTGATTACAAATGACATTAAAAGTGCAAGTTTCCTCTGGGAAAGGGATTTGTCCTTATGCATCACTTTATACTAAATTTTAACAGATTTGTCCCACATTTAAAGTTATTTCCTTTTTTAATAACATTTAGTAGAAAAGCTGTACAAAAAGCTGTATTAGCATCACAGACACGACCACTTGCTTTTTTTCCGGGTGAGTAATCAAAGAAAGAGTAATCCTTCCACATTAATCTGAAGATAGTGGCACCTACACCTGCTTGCAAAGTAGTTTTAATAGGGTAGGCTTCAGAGGCATGAAACACAGCTGAACTGCAAAGCTTTAAACCATTCTGGAGATGGCTGGAGCTCTGCAATTTAATCCTAGGAGCTCTGCAGAGATTAATTCCTAATCAAAGATTATGCTCAGTATAATCATTAAATCACATGTTTTACAAGACTGATTAAATGCCAGTACTCACATTTATTACACCAATTTGTATTTTTATGGTCTGGTCTTATAAAGATCCCTAGGACTTAACTACTCTCTGCAGAATGACTGAAAGTGTTACAATTTGTAATCTTAATTTATGGTCAACTGCACCCAAATGGGGATGAGTTTCTGCAGACAGGAAGCCTCTGTCAGTCCTAACTTGGCTTAAAAAGCCTACTTAAACCTCCTCCTCCAAAATTCAAACAGGAAATGGAAATTATTACTAGTCCATGTAGGATCATGGAATGGCTTGGGTTGAAAAAGACCTTAAGATCATCCAGTTCCAACCACCCTGCCATGGGCAGGGACACCTCACACTAAACCATGGCACCCAAGGCTCCATCCAACCCGGCCTTGAACATTACCAGGGATTGAGAATTTACCACTTCTCTGGGCACCCTGTGCCAGCACCTCAGCAGCCTCACAGTAAAGAACTTCCTTTTATCTAACCTGAACTTCCCCTGTTTCAGTTTGAACTCATCACCCCTTGTCCTATCACTACAGCCCCTGATGAAGAGTCCCTCTCCAGCATCCTTGCAGCCCCCTTCAGATACTGGAAGCTGCTCTGAGGTCTCCATGCAGCTTCTCTTCCCCAGGCCTTCTCAGCCTGACCATTTCTAAGCACAGAACCACAAGAAATCCCCCTTCCAGCTACTACCCCGGAGTAATCTTTACCTTATGTTTTGGTACAGGCACCATCATCTCTGCCATCAGCACAGATGAACCAGCGTTACCTCAGTGGTTATCTTCTAGAAGCTATCACCCTGCAATCAAGAGAGGATACAACAAACTAAGAGAAGTACATTTTACAGCATAAGTCAACCTATAGTGCTCCCCCCCCACCATTTCAAAACAGTCACAAGCTTGGGTTTGCACATTAGTCTGTTGCAAGTTTTACTACTTCTCTTCTAAGTGGTGGAGGATTCACTGGCTTGGAATGGACTGGAATGGCATAGTGACAGGTTGCATGGCTTATGGATTCTCATTCCTTGTCAATGATGCACTGCCATGTTAAATCCATAAGTTGAACGACAAAAATTTACTGAGGTCTAAACAGTAGTACAAAGCTTTTGGGTGTGTGGTTTTAGTTGGAGGTCTTCATGTCTACTATATTCAAGAGCATCTTTTGAACTTCATGGCTTTACCTGAGTCAGAGCAACTTGCCACAGGTTCTGCCACATGTACTAGTTATCCCTAAAACGCAGTGTCAAAGTACAGAGATTCAGGCATCCAACTAAAGTTTGCAATGGCTCACTTCAAACTCTGCTATTTGGCAAGCTAAACCAATTCCGGATTTCACAAAGCTTTAATTTTGTTATAATACAGTATATGCAGCCTCTTTAAGCATCTTCACTGTAAGATACTGGGCACAAAATACCCCCTCCCAACCCTACCTGACAATATTCTGTCTACAATGAGCTGCGTTACAGCTTTAGTTTCAAAACTGGTGCCATTAAATGCTTTTATCCAAGAAGGAATGTTGAATTTGGAGAACTTTTAATATATTGAAGTATTTCTTTTCCATTTTTTTTTTTTTAAATCTAGACAGCATTTCCATTGCCATGACGTGCAGCTTGGCTTTACTGTACTAGAGGAAGATAACTTGGTTCAATTTTGACTTAGACTGGAAAAACTAGTTTGCTTTGCTTACCATCTTTGCTGTTTCACAGGCATTTGATGCTTTAAATCAGCTGTGGAATGCTGAAAGATTCACTTGTTTTTAGGAAGCCATAAGCCTTTGAGAAGTTGGAGAGAAAGACTTCTGTGCTTATCTTATTTTCTCCTTTGGAAATCAAAGATGTTCCTTTAAAAGTGAAACACTACAGAGTTGCAAAAATTGGAAACAGTATGAGCAAGCATCGTTTTGTAGCTTCTTTGATGGAACTGGTCAAGGGGTTTTATTGTTACAGTATTCTGGAGCTGACTTACATGTACATGAGATTCATTTGGAAGGGAGATCCTTTCAAACTCCCCATGAAACAGTAGGAAGGCAGAAAATAGCATTATCCACTTGCTTTTTCAGGTTAAGTGAATGATATCCTCTATTTTTCTCTTTACACAAGGATCTGAAGGTATTTTGTACTGAGAACACTGTGACTTCAAATTCTAGGCACAACTGAACTCTGTGTGGAACAGCCCCACCACCCTCCAACACAAGCAATACTTTGTTTAAGAATGAGATGCTGAACATGTAGAACAATCCATCTCCATGTTAGATGGCTGGATGTTGTGTGGAAGCTCTTATGAACTGCTTGTTCCATTCATGAGGAAAATCAGATGGGAAGTGTGGCATTTCAGGGAAACTTTACTTGGAAAATTACAACACTAGTACACAGCTCAAGTTTTATACATTTAACATCTGCTTTTTGAAAGAAATGTTAACAATTTTGAAATGAAATTAAACACTGGTTTAACTTTTCCTCACAAAAGCATAAGTCATGGAGGGGAAAACTTAACAGGCAACAATAAAAAAAGGTAAAAACAACTTTTCCTTTTAGTAGTCCTCTGGTAGTAAAGATAGAACAACTTCCACTTTGCTTTTTTTGTTTGCGAAGTAATTTGTCTTGGTCCAAAAGTTTAAAGAGTATTTTTAGTATCTGCTCCTGCCTCCACCTCTATCGGATCTGCTTCCACCACGGCCACCACCTCTGGGTGCTCCGCGGCTTGAACTACTGTAAGAATCACGAGGAGGTGGATAGCCCCTTTCCATGGATGGGGGAAGACCCCTGTCTTGTCTTCCAACACGATCACGGCCACTTGAGTAGACATCACTTCTGCTGCTTGAGTAACTTTCTCGGCTTCCATATCCATCTCGTGTGCTGCCGTAATCGTCATAGCGACTGCTTCCACCATAAGATGGCGGGGGCCCTCGTGCAGGTGGAGCACTACGTGAGTTACCTGCAGGGTCAATGGTCAGGTAATATGGCAACACCATAAGTTATATAGAACAATTTCAATCTGAATTTACAGAATTGCTGTATTTAAATGGTTACTGCTACTCTTTTGTATGTATTGAGATGTTCTTAATATTATCTGCCACATTAATGGTATTTAAAGTGGGGATTGCATAGCAGGCAGTGAGTGGATTTGAAGACGGTGTTTATTCAGGCAGGCTCTTTACTGGGTATTCCAGAACAGCTTGTTATTTTAGAGAAGAAACTCAGCCACATTTTCCAGAGATAGTTGCAATTCTGAACTGTAGATTTTGCTTCTTTAGTTTACAGCTTATTTAATATGATGGTAACCAACAACTGCACTTTCACTGTAGGGGGGAAAAAAAGCGTGCCACTTCCCCGTAAAACACAAGCAACCTAGTAAAAATCAAGTTTTATGACACCTGTACAGCTTAATACATGATCCTCAAAATGGGATTCTTACCATAACTATCATATGAATCTCTGTAGGAGCCTCCACTTGGATGATCCGAGTAGTCTCTGTCACGCCCACCACCGTATCCATCACGATCACTATAGGAGGAAAGACTACTAAGACTTAGTATAAGTCAGCGAGATCATGGCAAGAATAAAATGACAAGAAGAAAAATCCAACAGTAGGTACCTATAACCCCTAGAGGGGTATTCATCTCGTGAACTGGAGTGACCATAATCACGGTACGCGTAGTCCCGAGGAGGTGGCGCATAGTCCCGCGTATCCCTGGAGCTGGGATAATCTCTGCTTGAGTAACTACAAAGAACAAGAAGTGAGATGTCAGTCAGATGTCACACCTTAAAAGATCAAAATCCTTCTCTGAATAAAAAAGCCAAACTATAAATTAGTAAAGGGAATTTACCCATCTTTAGTGCTGTAGCCGTCATCTCTTGGAGACATGTAGACATCCCTTCGTGATGGCATCGGTTCTCTGCGTGGAGGACCACCGTAACTGTCTCTTCCGCGTGACACAGGAGCTTAAGAGGAAGAGTCCAAGTTCTTAATTATCATTTAGCCACACGAAAGACTCCTCAAGGCAAGCATTAGCAGATAATATCCTTGTTTATAGGGATTTAAAAGTATCTCTGTAGCCTACATTTATAATGCTTTACACTTCTGCTTGTACAGTTTTACAGCAGCACTAGAACAAATATATCATATCACACCAAATTATCCCAACCAGCTACAAAATGATAATGGTATGAAGAGAACTGGTAGATTAGGCAAACAATACATTATCCCACAACACATTTAAGTTACAATTGACGATTCGCATCAGTTCCTGAACTAAAACTAAGCTGCTACAGCTGATTAGGTAAACAAAAGTAACTCAGGAGATTCTTACCTCTTCCTCCCATACTACTGCTACGCACTGGTCCTGAAGGTGCAGATCTTTTAGGTGGAGGGCCTCCACTTCGTGGAGGTGGACCTCTCTTCATGGGAAGTGGCCCTCGAGAAGATCCTAGAAGCCATGAACCAACTTGTTATTTCTGTGATACCCACCCATATGCCCTAAAGTCTGAACTACAATAACCTAGGCGCTATTATTACCACTATGTGATCAACAGTAAACCTGTAAAACTAGACTTCAAAGCTTTCTCTTGTATGTTGGCCACTACTCGATGCTACTGGCAGAAATGAGAGCCCATCAAGCTAACTGTCCAAAGCCTAAACTGCTCTCAAGAACTGTCTTTTAGAACTTATGCAAAAGCCACAGGGTATGACCCAAGTGAGAAAGACAAGCTGTTGACTGATTACAGGTATCAGCTAAGTACTCAACAAGCTACTATTCTCAGAAGACAAGAGCCACCTGGGAAGATGTACTAGAGAAGATCCTACAGAGAGGAAACAGAGACACTACAGAGTCTGCAGAACCTACTACAGACTCTCCAAGACAGGAGGTTTTCACTATTTCCAGGGTTTTTTTTTTTTGCATTACAGCTTTTACTGTTATACCTCAGGTGCTGCTTGCTTTTAAGTGACAGTTCTGTTTTGATACTGAAAGTCTCTCCATCAATTGCTGTATTTTTGATACTGAAAAGTCTCTGAATAAATAGTTGTATCTTAAGTTACAGAATATCCAGTATCAAGTAATACATTATCCTTTCACTTCAGAAAGCTTCAACTCAACACACTGTTTTATAACAAAGCAGCCTTAGCTTCCTTAGCTCCCACTATGACCTGGAAGGATCACTTCTAGAACTTGTTTAGACCTCTTGCTAGTAAGAACGAAAGGCAGTTCCCTTTCCCTGGTGGAAGAGAATCACTTTTTCAACTTGAATATCAGAAAGCTTCCTTTCTCACGTGCAGGGCAGGAGTTTTGCTTTTCTTTCATAGC